TATATAAATATATAAGCTTTGATTCTATTTATTGCTTTTTCAATGGGCTCTATGCTCTTCTCTTATCTGCTTTTCGGTCACCCACTCGACTAAAGTACCACGACGACAGACAACAGAGATCAGTTAGTATGAGTACTTTTCCTCCTCAATGAGACCAGACCAGAGCTCTCAAGTGTGCATTATGTCGTTTCATTTTGTTTGTCGGGGTTAAAACCCATACAACTGGAAAAAAGGGTTTAATTCGATAATAAAAATATAGAAAAGGAGCCGACAAAGGTGTCGTCACATCAAAAACCAGAAATGAAATCAAATCTCAAACGTCATGTCGTCGTTTTGAGATCAAAAGGGCATACAAAAACCAAAACATTCTTTCAACTGCCTTTTACTTAGGCTGATATTTTTTTTGCCAAAGTGGATGGATAATATGTTATTACAAGGTTTTGACCATCGCGTTATGTTATTTTAACCTTCGCTTTCTCATCATCTGTTTTGCGGTGGATTTTTAGGATAAGGTTTTTATAAAGGTTATATCATCACTCAGGATCGGTTGAGAGAGAGAAAAACAACACTTTACTTCAAAAAGCAACAAGTACAAATATCTATAAGTGTACTTGCTACAAGAAGACAGTAGTGCCGCACAAAATCTAAAACTAATATACAACGACCACTTCATTCCCAATATTCGTCATAAAAACTAAAAGTCTACGTAAACCAGTAAACTTTTTCCTTCTAAGTAAACGAGATTTATCCCAAGAAATATTTCCAATCTCATTTCTTTCCTTTGATGTGCAGTGGAAAAAATCGATTCAATTTAATAAATTGGATCCAATTCGATCCATCCACGCCACACCACGCCACACTTTACTTTCACTTGAAGTGCTGATCAATATTATGCAAATTTTTCTCTCCTTCTGCACATACACTGCGCTGATCAACAAGTTTACACCCAAAGAAAGTTGCATAAATCTTATGGACAATCTACTAAAATTTAAGTCTACAAATTCCAAGTAAAATTAAAGCATACAAATATTACCCTTCCTCCTCATGAATGGAATCCTGTCCCGGTTGTCCAGCAGCGTTGGGGACAGCTAGCTGGTCGTGGACGTTGGCAAGTGTGTGTCTTCGTGATCGATGGTCACGATTGATAACGACGGAGGCCGTCGGTTGATTATATGATGACTTCTTCTGCTGACCATACTTTCGCAAACTGCCACGTTCACCTTGCATCTTCTTCTTTTTATGATATAAAACTGTGCTCCAGTTTAGTTATTTTATTTATTATTCTTATTAATTCGAAAAAACCTCGTCGTTATTTCTTATTAAAAACATTTATTCCGATGATATGTACATATTTCCTTGATATTTTATAGATAATCTCTCGGAAGCCTAAATATATATCTCACCCGGAATCTTATGACGTTTTTGTTCCGCATGGAAAAAGTCATGCATAAATGCGTCACAGACTAATTTATGTATTACATTACGTAAAAAGAATGCAATGAAACCAGGTTTTCATACTCACGTAAATATGTAAATGATAAGAAAAAATGCGAATACTAAGTGAATTATGGAGAAAAAAAGAGCAAATACCCTGCCAAACTAATAACTTGAGTAAAATTATATGTCGTTGATGATCACGATATTTATCACTGCTGAGACGCAAAAGAAGAGTGAAAGAAATCCATGTCACACCCAAAAGGGGAAAAAAGTGGCATATAAAAGCAAATCTTATGGGATTTTATGATGTCAAAAGTAAGTAAAGTCAAAACCTTATGTCTCCTCGTTATCTATCTCTCACGACGAGCAGTGAATCTCTCATGTAATATCTCTCTCTCTCTCTTCTCTCCCCTTTTGAAATGTAAATGAAGATATTAACGTGCTAATTAACCACCACTACTACTACTCCTACTACTGCCAGCAGCAGCAGAAAATCTTAATAATCCTGCCCAACTACTACTCAGCGAAAGATCTCATCTCTCACTAATTTCGTTACGTGGTGGTACTACTATTATTGTATTATTATTGCTCTATCCTATCCTATCCCACGACCAGGCAACTGTCAACCCTGGTTAGTCTCAAGATAAACTAAGTATATCTATTTTCTCTTAGTTGTACAGCGTTGATTTCCTTATTACTTCCGAATCTCCTCCTTCTCCAGAAACACCTACCACCTGTTAGTATTAGGAGAGAGCTCAGCTATGTATCCTCCCACCACCTTCTTCTTCTTCTCCTGGAGAAAATACGGAATGGAAGTCGTAAGAAACAGAGAGAGGAGGAAGACAAGATGTGGAGAAAGTGGAGACTTTCCCTGCTGCAGTCTATGCTTTCTCTCGTACCCTTGTGGTGTGGTGTGGTGGAAAGTTAGTGTTCAGTCAGTCAGGGTCTCTCTCTGCTATTCTGGGCCGAGATTAGACTTGAACTGAGCAATAGCAGAACATCATCTCGCCGTCGTTCGAGAGAATGGAGAACACACAGAGAAAAGAAAACCAGCCCAACCACCAACCAGGCAGGCCAAAATCAACAAATATATTATATTCCCCTTTTTCCTCCTCTTCTATATATTAATCTGTTGCTCTCTCCACTCGCGAATTCTCTCTCTTTACATGGCAGATCCTTGAATGAAATGCGGACGGATGGAGGAAGGAGTTGCAATTCTCACCATCACCACTACGATACTCTCACCATAAAGATAAAATACAAGTTAAGTGAGGATTTTGAGGAGGGCTGTATTTATTTTATCTGGTAAAACATGCCACCACTATTATGTATACTACGACTCACAGAAACACAAAGTGTATAGCAGCACCACTTCCAACGCCACCATTATTAAGTGTGGCTATTATTTTATAAAGTTTTTGAAGCCGAAGGAGGAAATGAGTTTGAGTTTTGCGAGCTTTATTTTGTGCTTGCGAAATTGGATTTGGAATCCAATCTAGTCCTCGGCAGCGGCGTGTGTACGTATCTCACTTTTTGAGATTGAAATGTGAATCTCATGTAGCCTGTCTGTCTCTCTCTCTGCCTCGCGTTCGTGTCATTAAATGATCATTTACCAAAGTCAGCAGACGAGAGATGAAATGGTGGTTTATGGTTTATGATGCCAAATGTGGTTCTCGGCTAGTACTTCACCTTTACTTGGATTGGACTCGATACGACGACGACCAATAATGTCGAGGCCATGAGAGAGAGAGCGAGATGATGAATTCCTGGCTAAAACAGGTAGTCAGTCAGGCAGCAGGAGGGTTTGCAGAGAGAGACGGCAAATAGAATTAGAATAGCTTTACTTTACTTTGCTCTCTCTCTCCAGTCGAGGAAGATAGAATAATATAAAAGGTGGAAAGAAGAAATCGATCCGACATCCATCCAACCAACATGGGAGGAAAATGCTGTAATAGATTTATACTCACGGAATGCAATGCACAGCGAGAGAGAGAGAGAGCTATATATAAAACGCAATATAATAAATTACATCCAAACCACCCAAACCTTACAATCTTGCAAACCTGGAGAGCTGTGCATGCAATCCGACCAGCCAAAAAGCTCAGCTCTCTCTCAAACAAAATCCCACCTTGCACGAATTCCCAGTGAGCTACAGCTACATGCCTAATAATAAGAAATCATCCTACTACGAGACCAACCAACCACCATGCAAAATGTTCCATGGGAGAGGAAAACCATGGAAAAATCGTCCAATCCACCATCTCAAATTCGCACATTTCTCCGCCATCTCTGTCGACTCGGGAGTAAGTGAAAGTCGACTTTCTCCCGAAACTTTGTCTAGGTCTCTCCACTCTGGCAGAATTTTTCCATGCTGGGAAAATACATAACCAACCACCACCACATGCACGGTCAGAGAGTAGACCATGTAATCAATAATTCAACTCTACCAGTGTATATTTACTAGATAACAAAACAGAGCAAATTCTTTTACTTTCACTGTGCTTTCTCTACTGCACTCTTGTCCTGTTTGCCCTCGAGCAGGCTTATTTTTACACATCTGCCATCATCCCAGTCTCAACAAGAAAATACATACTTTGTGTGAACGAGGATGAGATGAGTTGAGAGGATCAGAGATCGTTATTATATATTGTTTGATCCGGTCCGACCTCATACCGGCGACCCGAATATAATAATCTTATCTTCTTCGATTTTGTTTTTGATCTGCTTATTGACGAGTAATAAGCTCCCTTCTCGCAGAGCAACAGACAGACAAGGACGACGACAAAGGAGGCGGTTTGAATAAGATTGAACACCTGTCGCATCACATCTGACCTATTTTCCCTTCTCCATAAATACATTCGCATTTCACATCAAAGGAAGGAAATCCTCTGTCGGCAGAAGTAATAATAATAACGATCAAACCACCGTGCCATGCAAATAGTCATATATTTACTGCCTTCTGCTATTTACTGCCGTCGTCTGGAAGTAATTTTCAGCCAGGGAGGGAAAAGGGATTAGAAAATCTGTCTCAAAGTAATAACTACGTATGGCCAGGAGGAATATTTTAGTGGGGGTAGGCACGTCAAATATTTCATTGGTGTGCACACATACAGAGAATGCATATACGATTTTCGTCGCAATTTTCGCATTTGTGGATTCCATATATCAAACAAAAGTAAATGTATGGTAAATATTTAAACAAGTTTTAGGGTGAAAGCTAATAATTATTACATTGCAATACCCTGATTACGTGAATACGCCGCATAAATCTTGTAAAGTGAGCCACGTTACAGCCAAATTTCCGGGATTTATTTAAGTCGCAGAAAATAATCTTCGTTACGAAAACATTTTACATAACCAAAGTAAACTTGTATTATGTTCGATTTCACCATTTTGCACAGTAATTTTACACCATCCCACCCATATTTCATTCATCGAAATATGATATTACGTAAACAAATATCTACTCAGGTTACTTTACAAATCACGACTAAACAAGATTACCTTATTAATTATGTAATTAGTACATAATATGTAAAAGCATATAATATTTATTTCCCAACCTTCTAATTCGTGGCGGTGCAATGGGCCAAGATCTCCTACTTCTTAAAATGACTAGATTCTTAACTGTAGAATTGGTCCTTCCAAACTGCCCTGTCGGCGCACTCGTCCTCTTTCTCGGCACCCTCATCACCTAAAGACAAAAATATTTCCTTCACCCCGATCTCTATTTGACGAGGTCATCTACTTGACCTCACGTCCTAAACTCATTTTATTACACCGATTGACATTTGACTTTTACCCTGTTGTTCCAAAGATGCGGCCCATTTCCCGTTTCGACGGAGAAAGTCCGTCTAAACTTCTCAGTCGTGCTTTCCCCCAACAAGACTCGCTTAAAGAATTCCACATCCGTCGGCTTCAACTTTTCAGACACTTTGTCGTCCTCTTCCTCCATTTTAAGGTTATTATTATTACTCTCTAACCACAATTACGACGGATTATCACATCCACTCAAGTAAAGTTCGTTTGTTGCTGTTGTTGTTTTTTCTTTATACAAAAAGTGCAAAGTTTTTATCTCTTCTTTAGATTTTTACTCAGAAAATCGTTACACACAGCGACGGCATCGTGATTTCGTGGGGAGAAAGTGGGCTGACTAATTGGATTGGCCTAATAAATGTGCCTCTTCCATCACATTCATTTCGTTCGTATCTATGCATCCAATCCAACTAGTGAGTTTGAGCCCCTTTCTTTCCACACGTTTCCTTCCTTTCACTATCACAAAAGGGTCTAATAATAATAATAATATCTCCGAAATACATAGGCCAACTGTGTGCCAACTAAATATGTGAAGAATGAGGACGAGAAATGCGACGAGATGATGAGGGGAGGATGGAGATACTACTGCAGAATAGAAGATGATGATGATGACGATGATTATCAAGTATTCGATTCGTAACGTAAAGGTCCATAAAATCAACTGAACCAGACCAAACCAAACCACCACCAGGCAAGAAGAATCGCCAAGAATGCACTCAGAGTTCAGGACACAAAAGTAGTATTGATCTCAATTTCTATTACTTCTCAATGTGCCAAAAGATATATGTAATAATATCAAGTGCGGGGAAAAAGCGACTAATAAAGTACAAAAAACTTTCTCCACTGAACCAAAACCACGAGGAAAACCACTACTCTCCGTTTTTCAATATAGGTTCTCACTCTCCCCGGTACATGTACAAAAGAGTACATTTCTCTCCCCTTGTCCGTCTGGAAGGGTCGTGTGACAACAACAATTTATGACTATGTACAACTTGCAAAATCCTTCCTGGGTGAGATGGAACTAAAACTTTTTGTATTTTGGTTGTCCTTATTACGACAGAGAGAGCGGAAAATAGAAACAAATTGTTAGCGGGTCGTTGATTCACTTAAGTCTCACGAGTCTATCCCAAAGGTGGAGAAAGTTGCTCGTTGGAATTATTTAGTAAATGAACTTAATGGAGAAAGTGATGGTATGGTGGTGGTAGTGATAATATTGATAGTGTTGATGATGGGGTAAGCAGTCTGGTGGAGAAAGTTGGAATTGGTCTTCTATTTTCTTTGTTCGGCGTGCGAAGGAGAAAGTGGAGAAAGTGGACGAGCAGGAGGAGAAGAACATTGAACAAACACGTGTGCAGATTTTTCCCAAGAGACGAGACCAAGACGATTGTCAATGTTGAGAAAGTTTTTGTATTGCTTTCTCTTAACTGCTTTCTCACCACCTGAGCTAGATAATAATGCAACCTCCTCTTCGTCACACACTGATGATGAGATTATCATGCACGATCCGATCGAAGTGCTATCCTATTGTCTTGCAATATTCCGTTTGTTAATAATTCCTACTGCGTCGTGGTGTGGTGACTTTCACTCAACTACTGTGTTTTTCACTTATTTAAACTTCAGAGAGTAATCAAGGCTTGAAAATTAATTGGATTTTTTTTTCTCTCTCTCTCTCTGTTTGAACAAGGTCTACTTTTACTTTGGAAATTGAAGAACGACTTGTCTAGCTATCCTATATCCTTCTTTTTTTAGTTCTGGGGAGAAAGTCGACGTCGTCGTACCACTAGACGACCAGCACGTTACGTATAGAATTCCCTATTTCCATACCCCCATGCAAAATTCATTCTTCGACAACCACTTATTTCACATAGTACTTATTCGCTGGTTGGTTCCTCTGTTTGAATAGGGACAAACTTTTTAAGAGGATTTTAACTAAAACAGCAGCAGCAGGAGCGGTGGAGGAAACTTTATAAAAGTGAAAGTTGAGTGTTGACGTATGAAATAATGGACGAGCAGCAGGCCTCGATTCTCTGTAAACTCGGCTTAAAATTAGAAATTAATATCCTCCCTTTCCCTCTCGTGTAAATAATTTCAAATTGTGGATAGAATTTTACACCTTATTCCCCACAGCATCTTCTCCTCGTGGAGTAAAAGACACACTAAATTAACCAACCAGCTCGACCAATTTGACTAAATAGTGAAAATTCATACAAAACCAAACCTACCCACCACACAGCCGTCACTGTCCCTCTCTCTCCACAACTAAGTATTTGAAGTGAAAGGTGGTTTGGTTTTGTCTGTCAGTCGTACATCGTGGCAGTCTGTTAGCTGTCTCTCTACCCCCCCTTCAAATAGCCAACCGACCACTAAACTAAAGGATGATCTCCTATATCACAATGATTTCAAGATAGAAAATTGCGGTATGCAAAATGCCAAAATCCATAAGATTTACTAAGGAGAAGAATCTAATGGATTTCGCGACGCGTTCCCGTCTTATTACAAGTTAAAACTGGTAAGCTTGACATTAGTTCTTGTCTATCTAGACTAAAATGCTCGACTAAAGCTCTCTTTCTCTCTCTCACTCTCTGCTGAAAGTGGTTGCTTGTTGTGGCTGCTGCTGCTCACTCTATGTGGTGGATGGATAGATTTTAGCTTTTACTTCTGCTGCTCTAGGTAAGTAAGCAACTCTCACACTGAAAACTGAACCATTTCCTTTAGTTTGGTAGGCAGGTTTGGTTTGGTTCGTTCCTTGGTACGGCGATCACTCACACTCAGCTCAACTTCAACTCAGCACAACCAACTGACTGACTGGGAGAAAGGCAAACATCACTTTCCCCCCCTGCCCAATGTGCTAGAACCAGCACCACCACCACGAAGCATGGTTTGTTCTCACGGGGAGAAAGCAGTTAGTTGAGCTGGCATGTTTTTTCCTCCTAGGACACAAAGCAGGGGGCTTTTTGCATGATGAGAAAAGATAAATCGTACACATGTTGTTGGCTGACTGAATCACGTAGTTTTGTAGGAGAAGAAGAAGAAGAAGAACACAATGAATGATTTCTCTTCTTCGTACAAGAATAAGGTATTCTTGCTTTTTTTCAGGTAGTAAAATACCCCGAAACTAACCTATCCCATACATGGGTTAGGTATTGCTATGTTTTGCTAATACATAAAAGCAATCCATCTCCGAATGAGGAATGAGAGAGGAGAAAAGAGAAAGTAAGATGAATGGGTGGATTCAACTTTCTCTCTCTGTATATGAAATGAATGTCCGATCCGATTAGTTCTTTGGGCATACTTATTTTACCCGTCATTTACATAAAGAGGAACAAAATCAGATTTTGTTTTGACGAGTTGGTGGTTTTCCTTCATTTTATTCCACTTTGGTATGTGTATGTGTGTACTTTGGCGTATATTTGGTTTACTTCGGGCACGACAAGGTTTTGCAGAGGGTTAGAAACACAGCATGAGGACACGAGATAGCCCCGACAACAAGATGAGTTGATGGGAAAAGAAATTAAATTGTCTCGAGGCAAATGGAAGAGAGAGAGAGAGAGAAAGTCGTATAAATAAATGTTCTCTCCCACTTTCTCCGTGTGAGTGGTGTCAACATATAATTGCGACACAGGACGACTTGACATAAAGAAGAACACCTTGTTCAATGTGAACACGGCACTTTTCGAGGAGGAGAAATTGGTCAATTTCGACCCAATTTTAGGCCAAATCACTTTCTGAGATAGACAAGAACGACACCATGCACCACTTGTGAGTTCAATTCAAGTCAAATAAAGAAGAAGGTACATAAAATCAAAACGAGTGCATGACCACCACGGACGGTGCTGCTGGTGACTCTCCAATTTCCTGCACAGTTGGACTCACTTAAATTCAGATTTATTCTTTTTTACCTGGCTGGCTCAGAATTCAATCCTTGTTATTTCACTTGGACCCATTTTATGAACAATTTCGTCTTCTCCCTTTGAGCTCATAAGTGACAAGAGCAAAAACAACTGAGTCGATTTATTACGTCGTCCTGGTGGGACAGACAATTCCAAAAATAGCCATGGTTTACAATATTCTGTCAAATAACAGGCCCAATAATAAAATCTCACTCTGCCTTCACCACCACCACCACCAGGGAACTGACTAGTATTAGTAGCTGAAGCTGAAACTGATGAGATTTTAACATGTCAACGTCTTGTTTGGTCGTGGTATAACAGTCGTGTTTACTTTTATAGTCTAAAAAGTCTCCTTCTCTTCTTGATCCAGGTTCCTACTTTCACCAAAATCCTGTCCAATTTACCTTTCTGCTTATCATGCATGAATTTTCGTGAGCCGTGTAGTCCTCCCACCCACCACACCACCGACTGAGCTCAACTAAACTAAACTGACTGTGATTTCCATTAAAGTGAATACACCATCAATCCTGTTCCATATCAGTGCATTTCGACAAACAGATACTACACGGCAGCCAGCAGAAGGATTTTGTGATTGAATAAATATTTGTATCATCAAGTCTGATAAGTTCTCTTCTTTTTTTTACGAGGAGGGTTCAAGTGATTCTGATTTTAGAGCAGCAGATACATAAGCACATACCTAGGATTCTCATCATCATCCATCCATCCTCTGCCTTTTTTTGTTATATTTCGTGAGGTTAAGAGTGATCTCTGATTCTCAGCAGCAGGACAGCCAGAGAGAGAGGTGAATAAGTGATGAAAGCAAGGATACGAGGAGATAAATGTCAAAGGCAGAGAGGGAGATGATGTGATTGGATTGTGAATAATAGATATTCTGATGTAACGTGTGTATTATGATGGGTGAGGAGATTGGCATTTGATTATTTAAGGTGGGTGGCGTGGCATATCGCAAGTTTGTCGAAGATTTTGATATGAAGGAAGGGATAAAATTATTTGGACGAGGATTTTCTATATTTAAACAGAAATTGAAGTAACGATCGTCATGTCTCTCCAATTTCCGAAAAGTAATCAAACTCCAAAAGTTTTGATGATTCGTTTGAACAACAATTTCTCAATTTCTACATCTTGTTCAAAATCAAGTCGTATATGTCATATGTCTGTAATGATCTCGAGGAAATGGTATCATTATGATTAAAGTTATGAAAGTGTTCAGCTCGTAATAAGGATTTAATATTTTGTACATATTCTCCATCTTCTCTTCCAATTTCTGAGAGAAACTTTTTCTTGCATATTTATTCGAACCGTCGTCGTCGTCACATCATTATCCAATATATGGGGAGATTATTAAATAAGTAAGCTTGTTGATATTCTCCTCCCTACTTTACGTATAAAAGTGTAACGACGTTTACCAATTACACCGAGACTAAATATCTCTGTAATACATCCTCTTCTTGTTAGTGAAAAGTATTCCAAGTTTTACAAAACTTTCCCCCCGTCTCTCTCACTCTTTCTCTTTGTTATCATCATCTTCACCGGCCAGTCATATTAAATTCCACAATTACACAAGTTCTCAAAACTCATCTTGTGAGCGAAACTTGAGATTTTTGCCTCCCGTTTCAATAACATTTCTGCAAAGTGGATTTAACCCAAAAAGTACTTTGTTGGTAGTAAGCACTACTAGTATCTAGTAGATCCCCTTGAAAAATCCACTTGAGCCAAACTAAAGCCTCGTCTTGGTCGTGGTCTCAATATCCAAATCCAGTTCTCTAGGTAGGTAGCAATCTGCCCCACATGCATGATTACTTACTCGTGAGTCAGTCTCTCAGTTTTACGAAAGGTTTATACCCTACTTTTTGTAAGCTTTGTCGTGCAAGCTCTAACCAGACTGTGTCCCAAAGATTGGCAAGATTTCGAGATTCTTTTGTCCCAAAAAGTTTAAAAATGAAGGAGATTTTTCAATCGACGACCAACTTTCCCCTCCCGTCTGCAGCTAACTTAGCCTTTTCTAGTGATGAGTCATTCATGATTAGTATTTAGGAAAGTTGGTAGTTTTCATCATCTCTCTTGCCCATCTCCACTTCCGTTCTGGTCGGTTGGGCGGAGATGGAAGAATTCTCATCATCCATCTGACTAATAATAATATATGTAACAGCAGTAAAATGGATTCATTCTTCTTTGGTGTATAATTACCAAAATGGATTTCCTTCCTTTCCTCCGTCAGGTAGGTGCTTCATTTTCATAGAATTTTCTCCGACAAACCGGCCTCGTACATGCATACGGTTGGTGAGTTCAGCTGATACTTTTAATAAATTGCACGTCTGACTACTGTTGGATTTTACTACTTCACTTCACTTTATGATGTCGTATCACGAACCAAACCGATTTCCATGCAGGCAGATATGACTAATAATAAGCATGTACATCCACCTGAGAGCAGTATGCATTTCGTGTAATACTTTCTCCCACTTTCGCCAGCCTGGAAACTCTACATTTCGAGATGATGATGATGATGGAATGTATGCATGGACGACTAAAATCATACCCTATTAATCACAAATGTCGTTCCCTTCTTGATGAATGTCCGGCTGACTGATTAGTTAAAACAAGTTTTTTTCACCTACCTTCTCTGCCTGCCTCCACTGTAGTAGGAAATGTTGATACTTCTAGTGCTACTGCTGCTGCTGCTACCGCAGTTCGGCGTGGTTGGTGACTTAACGTTAGGATAAAACCCCGCATTGTTCGGCGCTGAGGTTGACCGTGTGAAAGTGTGGTGGTTGTGAGGAATTTGCAAATAGTCGGACGATGACATTGTTGATGATGATATGGAAATATGTATTTATTATTATTTGGTCTGGCTGAGACGCCTGGGTGGATGTTGCTTACGGTGATGCAAGGAGCGGACTAGAATGACGCCAAGAAAGGAAAGGGTGGCAAATAGTCCCACCGAGAATAGAGTTATTGCCGATGACATTATTCCAATCTTAAGTTCAAAGGGTGAAATGTCATGTCACATCGGCATGATTTCCCTTTCATCACCACCACCATCCACCATCATCCTCTCTCCATCTCTGCTACTTACTTTTACTTACTTTTACTATTGGCTATACTACATGTATTTTCTACACTTGACATTAAAAACTGAGCGAGAAAAGTGGAACAATAATTTGATTAGGTAGGCAAAGAGAGAGAGTGAGAGAGAAAGTACATAAGTAAGAGAAAGTCGGTACACAAATTTCAATTCGCCCCTAAAAGTTACATATTATATTGGCTTACATGCATAGTGTCACTCGAGAGTCCTCGCAGAGTCTCAGTGATTAGGTTTAGCATACATTTTATTATTTTGCACGTAGGTGGCACATGAAATGGATATCATCATATTCTCTACGAGTGGGCGAGGAGTGAAATTGAAGTGAAAACGCGATGAGAGGCACTTCAAAATGTATAAGATCTTGTCGTGGTGGAAATAAGTGTAGTGGAGTCGGACGGACTAGTCGATTCGATAGTCAATCAACGGGGAAAGTAAAAGGGATCTCATTTTATCACAAATAATGAGGCAATTTACAAGAGCAGCAGCTTCAAGAGCAGAGCAACGGTTGCTTTGCAACTTCCTTCTGTACTCGACAACCGGATTATTGGACAGACTGCGAAATTCCCGACTGCTACTTAAATTACGGATATCGTGTTCTTTCAAGTTGGAAAGCTAAAATCTACTAAAAAAGACGACACATAAATGAAATCAGAGGCATAGTTGGATGTCAAAGGCGGAATGTTGGGCTAGCTACTGAACATATTTGATTTTTCAATTCTTTTGCAGAGAGCTCTGTTCTGATTGAAGTCAATCCCTCTACCGAAAGTAATTGGGCATCATGTGGAAAAATGTTTCTTTTAGTAAATAGTCAAACGCACAAAGATCAAAAGGTTCTTTAGTTTATATATTATTTTAAAATTCTTTAGTATTTTTTCTTTATAAATAAAAACGAAACATTATTCGTGATAAATAACGATTTGATTTGAAATTCCAAAGCTGACTTGTTTTTTAGAAATAAAAAAAAATTGTTAGCTTTGTCTGCAGAACGAATTATTTGGAAATTTGCGAATAGATCTCCTGATCCAGTTGACTCTTTGTTGATCATGTTGTACTACGAGTTGCTTGTTGTTGTTGGAGGGGAGTTGTTGTGATGCGGGTTGTTGTACTACGACTCGATTCTCTGTGGTAATTATAAGAGCAAAAAAGTTAATTGAGTGGAAGCAAACTAATTACTCCCAGACCAATTAGCATAGTAATTATTATCCTCTTTTATTACCAGTCCGTCTACTGCTCCCTTCATCTAGACCACCACCGCCAAAGCCGACATCTTGTCCCACAATAATTTCATAACCGTTCTCTTCGTTGTAATTATTAAAAGCAGTCTCATTATTAAAATCGTGATGGCTATGTTCAAACTCATCATAGTCCTCGTCAGAGTCGGAATCGTGAGTAAATTGGTTTATGATATAGGGAAGAACGGATAACTTGCGACGTTCGGGTGGCATTTTTACCATATCGTCGGGAAATCGATTGGAACGTTTAGATATTAGCTGCACGGGTGACTTTTTAAACCAGCTGGAAATATGTGATGGATGGATCAAATTAGTGAACAATAAAACTAGGACTACAGGTAGGAGCATTGTAGTGATATTAGTCTCAAACGTACGGATGTGCTTTGATGTCTTGAATGGAAAACCGGTGATTTTGATCGACATGAAGCATTCCTCTAAGTAAGCTGGAAAGGGACTATGGGGAAAAAATAGTCAGCAAACAATAGTCAAAGTCAAAGGCTTGCATAAGGTGCTGGTATTTGTTTAGTTGTTTTATTACCTCATCGACATTGTCTGGTATCACAAATTCGCCTTTGGCAATATTTTCAAAGAGGAGAAACACAGTATCGCCATCAAACGGATATTTGCCTGTGGTCATGTTAAATCTAGACAACAAAGATATGTGTTTGATAATTGCTACTACGCTAGGAAAGAATTAATTCCAAAATGGCATAGTTTCAATTATTACAGCGTGACGCCAGAAGACCAAACGTCTAATTTTGACCCGGAAAAGCTTTCCCCATTCGCAACTTCTGGTGGTTGAAACACTGGTGATCCTTGACTTGTGTGACAGGTATCGTCAGGATTAAACGGGTCGAGTGCCTAAATAGTCACAAAGGATGGGATAGTTAATAATTATTAACGTATACTGCTAACTAATATGATTACCTCTGCTACTCCAAAATCGGTAATTTTAATTGTTTCTTCAAGCGTAAGTAGTAAGTTTCCAGGTTTAATGTCCTTATGAATTATTCCTTGGCCGTGAAGGTATTCTAGGCCTACGCATAGCGAAAATTTATATATTTATAATAATTTCATTTCAATTTTAAATTCCAACTTAGACAATGAAAACTATACATATGTATGAACAGCACAAACTCACCCGCAATTAGTTGCGTAAAGTACCGATGACTCTGCCACACAGGGAACATATTTTCTTTGGCAAATTGAAGCAAGTCTTGCAGCCCAGACAGGCAGTATTCCAGAATCTTTAATTAAGACAATGTTAAAAATGATGGTTATTGATTACATTAAACCCTAAACTGATTGTCACACTCCAACTTACAATATACATTTTTTGTTTTTCATCGTTGTACATCACGTCGATTAATTTTATCACATTCGGGTGGCATAAGCGTTTTAGCAGATTTATTTCACGTTCTACGTTTGCTTCGCCGTTTGGAATTCTTCGGAGTTTTCTCTTTTTCAAAATTTTCACAGCTCTGTAAAAATGAAATTATAATTTTAAAGGGACCAATTCTTTAAAAAATCGTCAACACTGAATTACCGTCTTTGTAAAGTCTTGCAATGCATCACTTCCTTCACCTGCAATGTACACAACATAGGATTAAACTATGCTAAAGTTAATGTTCAGTTATTAATTACAATTTCTGATTTACAAACCTTCCCGTACGATCCTTCTCCCAGAAGATCCCCCATCACAAAGTCCCCAACTAGCTTGCATTTCTTTTTCTTCACTTTGTACACCACCTGAAATTCACAAATTGTGAATCACAATTATAATACCCATTTAATTTTCAAATTCAGTGCAAACCTCGATGAAATGGTAAATATAAAATACTATACTCACTTCATCTGAGTCCAGTCTTTGAAAAAAGAATGGTGGCTGCTGTTTCCAATTGATTTCCTCCTCCCCGTCAAAACCCCCATCATCGTCTTCCTCGTCGTCACCGGAAAAGTTGTCCCATTTTATTGGTTCTTTGTGAAACTCAAGCCCAGTTTCTTCATCTGTTTCAAATCCAACTGCTTCTGTCATCTCCTTCCTCCTTCCGTACCTTGGTTCAGAAAAGGAGACGAGAAGAAGCAGAAGGATGTTTCGAATGGGCGTTGGGGGCTGTAATTTTATCAAAATCTAATTTTACGACGTGTCGAAATTTATAAAGTTGGGTGGGATGGAAGATTCATCTCTGCAGGGACACTTGCACTGAAATTTTTTAAAAAATTTGTATTTCGCGGGTGCAAAAATCTCATGTAACTCCATAGTTTCCTGCATTTTATTTCATGAAAATTTTTGCATACAACTCCAAAAATTACATAATTACTAAATTATTTAATTACATATATTATTTATTCTTAAATCTGTGGACTTTGTCTATCAAACTTATAAATATTTCGGAATTTGCAACTTTAAAGTTAATTAAAAAAAACACCGGAATTTATTCATCATCACTTAACAGGGATATAATATCGTCGTCATCAAAGTATTCTTCGGCAGAGGTTTGAATCACTTCTCGGTACAGGGTCACTACCTAGAACAAAGTATGTCACATTTAGTGACAAACTCACATTTCCCCGAATCATCAATCAAACACAGTGGGAATTTACTACATATGTCATCCTCTTTCTCTACTATTTCTCACACAGCAGAAGCAGCAACTTAATTTTTGTAAACACTTTGTATTTTTGTTTTGTTTGGATAACAATGGAGGGGGAGGAGTCATTTTCGGATGACGACGATTTCGTCACAACGCAGAAGAGGACGAGGCGGAGGGCGACACCGAAGGTGGTTGAGAAAAAGGCGAAATTAATGAAAGCCGGTCAATCTACGTCTGCTGCTAACTCTAAGCCGTTAGTTTTTAGTTTCCTCCTCATCCTCACCCCACTACTTTGTACTTAACATGTACTCAAATATTTTGATTTTGTGTTGCTAGTTCGACCCCAAAGACTGCTACAGACGCCCCTGATGCTCGCAAACATTTGGCCGTGGAGACTGAGAAAGCCGACAACTGTGCCGAAGGGGAATTAAATCCCCGTGGAACGAAGGATAAGGAGAAGAGAAAGTCGGAAACCCCTGGAAGTCGTGTTCGTGAAGACCAGACTTTCCAACCCGTCCCGTGGTCTTACATTTCTGATGAGGAGGAGATGGAAGTGGGGGAGGAAGAAATGCGACTCAGGGATGGGAGGGGGATTATTCCTAGAGATGGAGATTTGGCTGATGAGTTCCAAATAAAGTACGTGGCTTCGTCGGATGTGAGAATAGGCACAACAGTTAAAGGTAATATAATAAGTACCACTTGAAGGATAATATCATGCGCACACTTTATAATGATAATATCATGTTATATAGGTGAAGGGGTCGATCAAATCAGGAAGACGATTCTGAGGTTAGCTGGGCTAGCCCCGATTGAAACCATTTCGTCCGACCTCGATGTTTTTGAAGCGTCCCCACAAATTGTTTTGACCCAGGAGGAACAAGGATTGACCCCTGAACAGAGGGAGGTTCTCTTCCAGGAGATTTTCCGCAGAGGAGGTCGTGTTGCCGTAGATGACAAACCGGACTGGTTTTTAATTATTCACAAAGCACCCACCACAGGTCTAATTCATTTATGTTTGGAGGCACTTGATTCAAGTAGAGGATATGTTTTCTATTCAGCTTCAAGGCTTTGTACGAAACCAAGTAAGTATAGTTAAGGTGGATATGTGCTACATCTGTGATATATATTTAAGTAAGTCATTCTCATAAATCAGATTGTTATCAATACAACCAAACTTTCGCAAGTGATGTCCTCCCCAAATGCACTCAACATCGATTCAGTCGCATTTATACCATGGTGAAAGTGACTGACTACAATAGGAGGGATGTGTTGGTTCTTCTTCACATGAAACCAGCAATATCTGTAGCGCAAAATGCATCCAAGCAGGAGAAAGACGAACAGACTGAACTGCATATTCAAACCCTAATCACCACCTACAACGGGTGGAAAAGGTATTGTGCCACGGAGGGCCTAGCAAGTCGACCGATCCCCAAATGTATATCTACACACCACTTTAACAACGAAGGCGAGGCTCTAAGGATGCTGTCATTTGAGTCGGTTAGTGAAATTGTCTCGAAACTAATGAGTAGTGAGTAGTGATTTCATCATTTTTATTATGTTTTTCTAGACCATCGGTATGTTTATGAAACTCGCCTCTGGATCTCAACCCATCATCAATTTGGATGATTTGATCCCCTTGTGTTACGGAATGGAGAGTGAGATCGATGCGCGACTAAAGGAATTGGGGATGGAGCTCAAGATTCGTCGCCACTTAACACCGACGGAGAGGAAGAAGGTCAAGTACCCATTTCCGGGAGAATATCTTCTTGAAACAGTAGGGGCAACACAACAGCAAGAGGAGAAAGGGAAGACCTTTTTGTACACCATCATGAGTCGAGATATGTGGTATTTTGGCTGGAGCAACACCCCCGATTTCAAAAAGCGCTTGGACTCAGCAAGGGGGACTGATGGTGCTAGGGAGTACAAACGCATTACAGATAAGAGACAGAAAGATAGACAATTGGAGATCGAGGGACTGAAACAGAGAGATATAGAGTTAGGTAGAGCAGAGGAGTTATGTATCTATCCACCCCCATTGAAGGCTCCTACCATGACCCCATACCTAGTCGCCAAGTGTGAGGATGATGATAAGAAGACCATCAAGACAAAAACCATCGAAGCGAAGATGATAATAGCTGGATATATTGCATATTTGTTAGGATTGCGTAATCCTATTCGTCCTAATTCGGATATAGGTTACTCTGTTAATAAATGTGTATCTATTAGTTTAGTCGATTCTAATTCATGGGGCGAGATATGTGAATTTGTCAAGTTATTCTGGGGGTTTGAACCAATGTTGGGGAAATACGAAGGAAGTTAAATTTCTACTTCAAATTAAATAAACTTTAATCAATACCCCTTTAGAATCGGATAACTCATCGGCAGATATCCCTGTAAATCATGAATGAAAAATTGCCATATCTAAAAATAATAATATTTTTATTATTTATGTAAACATGTATCTTACAATCATAAACCATTTGGTTATTATTCAAGTGAGGGTTATCTTGTTTATACAGTCTCATAGACTGTAAGGAAAGTGCCAAAGCTTGCGTCGGGTTCCAAACTTGGTCAAATTTATTACTCGCTACTTGAAGTTTTCCTTTAAACAGGACTTTGGCTGTGACAAAAAAAAAATCACAAATAATCAAATTACATGGATTACATAGATTATTTGAAGCTAAAAATATGTAAAACAACTTGTTTACGAAAAAAGTTATTATGCATGGATTGTGATTACCTGATTGGGCAGACGGATTCCATTGAATAATGTAGTTCGTTTCATAACTCAGCCGATTGTTTTCAATGTTCTCATCTTTTGCAGTGGTCGCTTGGATCAAGAGAATTACTAAGGCGGTTATCGTGCAGTCTATAGGGTGGGTCTGCAATTATTAAATTAATAATTTCAATTAACCTGTCTGCTAAATTTTAAAACTTTTCAACACCTACCTGAACAATGATGGCATCAAAGTCAATCAGAAAAGCAAACTGAGCTCCCTCCTTGTTACAAATAATATTAGCAATTTCATTCGACAAAATTTCAAAATCCAAACTTGTTTGCGTAATGAGAACTTTTTTATCGACGGCTTTATAATTAGGGATCATTGACAATTGCGTTTGATCCGTATAAACATTTGTAGGCAGTGCTACCGGGAATTCGTTAAAGTTATACTCGTTGTCTTCAATTTCAGTCGTGGTCGACACACTTTCCTCATTGAGTAGGACGTACGACCTCGTCACGCGTGCCGTGCATCTCTTGATAAATATCGTCTTGGAAGATGATCCTGGTTTCGAAGTAGTTGAGCGATGTTGGGGTCTTTTATTTGAGTTGTGCAGTGGACGAAGGACGTAGTCGTCATATTTACAAATTTCTTCTTTAAAAGCAGCATCATACTTTTTATCGGCTAATTGCCGAGTTCGGAACAGTCTATAATTTTTGTCTACTTTACCATCATCTTCATTTAATAGTAAGTCATATATATCGGGTTTTTCTTTCTTTGGTAGAGTCGGATTTGGTGGCTTTGTCCTTTTGAAGAATCGCTTTTCTTTAATATCACAAGTAGGGAGAAGATTTTTATAGTAAAAGTTTAAATCAGGGTGGTTCTGGTTTAAATCAGTTTTCAGTACATTCGACTTGTTCTGCTTTATCTGCCCTTGACTTGGGTTGAACTGTATTTGGTGGAGGAGGTTCCCAGTGTTTATAAGAATTGTGGGCGTGTTACCTTCGGTTAGATAGAGTGAGACTTCCGGGTCGAACTTTGGATAAGGAGATACTAATTCATACGTCAGGGTGACCGTTAACGAGTGGGAGAGGCAAGGGTTCAATACTTGAGTATATTCAGAGGAGTAAGTACACTTTGGGCATGGGGAGGACGGAGGTAGTTGTGTTAAAGTGAGATAACAGCGAGGGTTTTCCTCAGGAGTGGAACTGCATAATTAGAACATTCATATTGAATTGTGTATCATTCATTCACTCCAGTTGCACAATGCAACTTGCATTATATAATTGTCAACACGCACCTCTTCCCAACTACTGCCAGAAATTTGTCGTTCCCACTAAATTCTTCATACTTCCACTGACACATTTGTATCAGCAGATTGGAATCTGCCGTCCCATTGCGGTCAAAAAGCAACACGCTCGAGTACTTTTTTGCCACCGAGAAGGGAGTGAAGAGCCAAAAGTATAGTTTATACGTATACAACGACTCCACATCAAACTCCACATCAAGAATGGGGCGGTTCTCGTTCTGAATAAGCATGTTGTGAATGTTTGCGTGTTGCACTGGACGAATCGTGTAGGATAAGATGTAGCGGTTGCAGTGACTAAACCCCATCACGATGTGTCTGGCGAAAACATTTAATTATAGTATAATTACAACGAATTAATTTAAATTATTAAAGTATTCTAGCAAATACCCTGATTGCAAGGCATATTTTGGAATCACTTCATCGATACGGATCCGGATATTGAGCAATTTATTGTAAATCTGTTTATTACTTCCATCCTCATTAATATCCTTGATTTCTTGACGATGGTGATAATGTCGTCTTTTTTGGGGACGGGGTCGCATCGGTTCTACTGGACGTGAGTGTCGATCAGTCGTTATCTTTGTGCGTGCTTGACTCAGTCGGGAGTGTGTCGACATTGTCCCAGTCATCTGAGAAACAAGTTAAACAGTGTACATTCAAAATAATATCGTGTAATTAACTAACATACGTGAACACTTCAACTTACCTGCCGATGTAACAGCGCTGAGCAAATGTTTGCAGGCATGTTTTACGTGTAACTAAATTTAACTTAAAAATAACTAGGTTAATTATTATGTTATTAATTAATAAATTTTTTTTGTGGGCCCTTTTTCATTTTTTCTCGCCCACTTTGTTTACAAGTTTGTCCAACTGTTTGGGAAAGCAGCAGCGTTGCTGATTTTTGCTCAATGACTGGAAAACGGTTCAAATTTTTGTGGGAACGAAAAATTCCGGTCAAAGTTTTTCAGTCTATTTTAATTTTTAATTTGGCTTTAAATTTTTAAATAGTTCTAAAGTTTATTGGGGAGGATAAAATGTCGGGAGAAAGTGAGGTAAGTAACTTTATTCTAGGATTTGAAGCATGTTGCAAAGTTAACTAATTTTGATTGTTCATTAATTTTGACAGTTCACTGAGCTGTCGCATCTCTTAACCGAACCCAACCTCCCACTGGAAACGTGCATCGATGTTGTTTTTAAGCACTTATGCACCTACACGGAAGAAAGGTGATGCAAAATCAATTAACATGGTCATATTTCATCCTAATTATCTGTTAATTTACAGTTCAGATAAATCTCTACCAGCTGCCATCCTAACGCAAACCATCACCCTGATTAAAAACCAATTAAAAGCAACTAATACAGAAAAATCTAGCGAAGTCCAACAAGAAACGCTTCTCAAAGTCACAAAAATCATGGCGATATACACTAAAGTTGGGTCCGAGGGAGCCATCCATGCTGCCAAACTATTGACCAAGCTCCTCAAGGTGATCACCACTTCTTGTGAGGCTCTCGTAAGATTTATCTGTGCCGAGATGACATCTGTCATCGAAAAGAAGCAGGGACAACAGAGGGTCAACTATTACTGCCTTGTGCTAAAGATGCTGCTTGGAAAGTGCTCAATTAGCGAGGAAATCTTTACGGAGGCCGTTTTCCCTGTCATGACCATTTTAGACGATGGAGAAGAAACTGGTCGCAAACTGGTCGTCATGTTGGGGACGGTGAAAAGTGTGCTGTATGAATGGTTGTTGCAAAGAGATATGATGTGGGTTGGGTTGGAAAGAGATGGGTTTTTTAAAGAAATTTTGCATGCGATTGGTAAATATAATTTATTAAACTTGATTCTACATTTATATAGTGTGATAATTAACTGCAATTTGACTTATTGACAGAACGTGATAAATTCCATATTGACCAGGACAAACTCCATATGATTTGTCAACGTGTATCTGACTTGGGCGCAGACGAGTTTGACAGCTTCATCTCCAATGTGTTTGAGTATTTGATCGAGTGGGAGGATAATCATAATTTTGAAACGCTGGGAGTCATTGTTGATTTGTTGGACGTCATTTTAGGGTAATTAAGCTAATATCAGTGATACCATTGAGATTCCTGATGTCACGTTTTAAAAGAGTTAAATATTTTGTAAACCGTTTAGAATTGTACCGGAGGATGTAAAAGAGGAAATCCAAACGGGACTTCAATCCATAGAATTTTGGCATGTAAAATTACTCGTGTGTTTGGAATTGTTTGGTGAACCCGGTGGAGATGTTATTGAAGAGAATGAGGTACGTATCAAGTTGTTAAGTTTAAAAAGAATAATTTATTATAGGTATTAAAAGTACAAAATCACAAAATTTAAATTAATGTTATTATTACTAATTTCTCACAGAAATCTGATGACACGCTGCCTTTAGAAATATATCTTGCCTTGAAGGCAAATTCCTCCCCACCGGAATCCTTGATACAACGCGTCTATTCAATTAGAGACGACACAGTTTATAAATTCTGCACAATCGTATTACTAGAACTATTTAAGATTGACAACTTTACAACTTTTGAGCTTGAAGTGGAAGAAATTAATGAAAAAGTGAAAGCCCTAAAATCCAAGTATGGTTCAAACTGTGTCTCACGAATTAGGAACTTTGTTTTGAACCAAGAGTAGACAGTGCATTCCTATCCGTAGATTCTTTCGCCTTTTTGAAATATTCATCGTAGTTTTGTGCATATTCGGTAGCAATGTCACTCATCAATGGATCTGAGAGGTTTGGTTCCTTTAGTAAGATGCGAATCGATGCAAGTACCTAGTAGTGAAAAAAACCATGGACTGTGTTCATTAAATATTTTTTTACTATAAAATATAATACTTTCCTTTATAAAAACTAACCGTGATCACGTTAAGAGTCACAGACCAATTTCCCATGGGTTTCGGCTTAAGTGCAGACAGACAAATTCTTCCCTCCGGATCAACATTTGGATGATAGACTTGAGTTAAGAATGTAATTGACGGAGGTATGAAAGGATACCTACCAGATAGTATTAACTATAATTAATTTCTACCTTTATATACACATAAATACAAAATATCATACGGTACGGTACAATTAAACTTAATATACCGATCTGGAATTTGCACTTTTAAATGAAATGTTCCTTTCGCATATGGCGAATCTTCCGGTCCAATCATATCCACCTTCATTTCATCCAATTTAGATTCATCCTCTAAATACACGTGGATCCCTTTAAAAAACAACAATCATTATCTTTTACTTTTCAATATAGTTAACGCAAGGCTTTTTTACCCGGGGACGGATTTTTCGCCATGTTTTGAAGCTCTGCCCTTATTCTGGTTAGTTTTTGAGCAGATGCCATAATTTCAAAAACCGACTAACTACAACTATTCAGTAACTTTATTTTATTATTGTTTTTATTGCCGATATTTTGTGCACGTTTGCCGCTCAAAAGAAATAAAACTCTCTCTTGACTCAATTTCGTCGTAATAGAAGTCACACCAACGAAATCTCACTTCTGCTGCCCTTCACTACGTCTGTGAAGCTGTACCTGGGTTTGAGTGCACTGCTGCCGCCCACCGTCCAGCTTCCTACCGCCAACCGCCGCCTCTCTTCCTACCCGCAGATGCCACTTCCAAAAAACCTTGTACATCGACTTCTCTAACCCTTCGCCGTACTATAATACCCCAAATTGTTAATTTTACTCTAAAATACTCAAGAAATCCAGAAAACTAACTAACAAACTAGTAAAATAGTCCGCATAGGTTCCTAGAGCGGGATTTCAAACTACCGCCTCCATGCTCACATATATTACCGACCACACCCCCGGTCATCACATAATGCGGACCCGCACCCGCCAGATAGTACTGGTCAAAATTACCAAGCCGGTAAAAGTCATAACTTAGACTTTTTGATAATTTTGACTTTGTCTCCATTTCCTTAAGCAGGATTTCAAACTACCGCCTCCATGCTCACATGTGTTACCGACCGCACCCCCGGTCATCATTTAATGCGGACCCGCACCCGCCAGATCCCTCTGGTCAAAATTACCAAGCCGGTAAAAGTCATAACTTGACGTTTTGCTAGTTTCGACTTTGTCTCCGTTTCCTACAGCGGGATTCCAAACTACCGCCTCCATGCTTGCAAATGTTATCGACCGCACCCCCGGTCATCATTTAATGCGGACCCGCACCCGCCAGATCCCTCTGGTCAAAATTACCAAGCCGGTAAAAGTCATAACTTGGACTTTTTGCTAGTTTCGACTTTGTCTCCGTTTCCTACAGCGGGATTCCAAACTACCGCCTCCATGCTTGCATATGTTATCGACCGCACCCCCGGTCATCATTTAATGCGGACCCGCACCCGCCAGATCCCTCTGGTCAAAATTACCAAGCCGGTAAAAGTCATTACTTGGAGTTTTTGCTAATTTTGGGTTTGTCGCAGTTTCCTACAGCGGGATTTCAAACTACCGCCTCCATGCTCACATATGTTATCGACCGCATCCCCGGTCATCATTTACTGCGGACCCGCACCCGCCAAATCCCTCTGGTCAAAATTACCAAACCGGTAAAAGTCATAACTTGGACTTTTTGCTAGTTTCGACTTTGTCTCCGTTTCCTCAAGCGGGATTTCAAACTACCGCCTCCATGCTCACATATGTTATCGACCGCACCCCCGGTCATCATTTACTGCGGACCCGCACCCGCCAAATCCCTCTGGTCAAAATTACCAAACCGGTAAAAGTCATGACTTGGACTTTTTGCTAATTTTGACTTTGTCGCCGTTTCCTACAGCGGGATTTCAAACTACCGCCTCCATGCTCACATATGTTATTGACCGCACCCCCGGTCATCATTTAATGCGGACCCGCACCCGCCAGATCCCTCTGGTCAAAATTACCAAGCCGGTAAAAGTCATAACTTGGACTTTTTGCTAGTTTCGACTTTGTTGCCGTTTCCTACATGTCGTCCAAGATGAAATTTTCCAAGGCAGACATGAACAAAGCTCATAATAATACGGTATCCTTCTGCGAAAAAGTTTTGGACGGCGTTTCTGCGAGAAGAAAGGGTGCCACACGAACTCTGTCGAGGATTTTTCCTCAAAATGGCAGAGTTTCGTGAAGAGACGAACCCTCCGAAAAGACGTCGAGCGACACAAGAAATTGTGTCCGAGCATGTCCCATTATATGCAACCACCTATGACCCCCACGCCCATACTGAGGACACACAAGCTGAAGACGTCCCCCACGCCCAAACTGAGGAGGCACAAGCTGAAGACGTCCCTCGCGCCCAAACCCAGGACACACAAGCTGAAAACGCCCCCCACGCCCAAACTGAGGAGACACAAGCTGAAGACGTCCCCCACGCCCAAACCGAGGACACACAAGCTGAAAACGCCCCCCACGCCCAAACTGAGGAGACACAAGCTGAAGACGTCCCCCACGCCCAAACCGAGGACACACAAGCTGACCAAGTAGAATTTGTCCACGTCGTCGTTCTTGAAGACGAACCCATCGCTCACGATGGACAAATCTTCGTAAACCAAGCCGACCTCGTTAGCGAACTTGGAATTGAGCAACGCCAAGCTGATGACGCCCCCCACGCTCACACAGAGAACATACAAGTTGATCTAGTACAACTTATCACAACCGCGCTACTGGAGCATGTCGGCGTCGCCCAAGATGAGCAAATCCTCGTAACCCAAACCGAACCTGTTCAAACAGAACACGCCCACAAAGACCTACCTGAAGAAAGCTTTGGCGCACAAGCTGAGGGTCTCCAGGACGTCCAAGCAGAGCACGCCCGTTTAGTATTAAATAAGAGCCCCGTGATTCATAGACCCTTTCATCCAGAACATGGCACGGCAAGGAGATTAACCAGAAGAAGCCCAAAGCCTTCGAAGCGCTATCCAACAGCAGAATACTACGTGCCACGAAAGACAAGAAGCGTAAAAGAAAGCTGGTGCAACTGCGGAGTTCGTGGGGACGACCACTTGCCAGCGGTAGAATGTGATGGATGTGGTAAGTGGTATCATTACCAAAAGGACGGAGTCGGAAAAAATCATTGCGACTACAAAGAGTCCAATGAGTGGTATTGTCTGGAATGTCGGGATGCAGCAGAAACTGATAAAAATGACAGTATTGAAAAAGATGGGAACGACGACCTGGATTCTGAAAACGGAGATCAAAATGACGGCAACGACGACGTACAGAAGTTTGATGATGACACATATACCGAAAAACACGACGGACCTGAGAATGATGCAAATGGAGGTTCCGAGGCGGATATGCAAAATAACGAGGAAGACGCACAAGAAACCTCATACCAGTTCGATCACCAGACATGGTCAGCCGACGAAAATGAAACCGTACGAGTTCACGCACCTTTAGCTGATGTACAACTCGATGTGGACACAGTTTGTACTGTCCTTGGCATTTCTCAGGAAGAACTGAATTATATTCCGCCTAAAAAAATGACAGTTATATTTTCCCCAAACGAAGTTTCCAAATTTTTTGACTACAAAACCTCAAAATTTGTAGAAAACAAGATTCGTGGGGACGTTATTTCGCAGAAACTTTGGGAAGCTGGCATCCTTTGCGATTTTAAGAATAGGCGGGAGCCCTATTATTATTCGGAAAGGAAAAAAGATCAGCCATTCGCTCGACAGGAAGGATACTGCTCATGTGGAATCAAATTTCAAGTAACTTTCCCATGCAAACCAATCCAGGGAGAGGCCTTGGAAACTACCTTGGAATCTTTCGGAGTTTTCACCCTCGGAAAAGTCAGACTGGCTTCTAATATATTCGACGACTTGAGGTTGTTGAAAAATCACTACCAGACAAGCCACAACGCCAACGCCACAATTTGTGGTTACATCCAAGATTTTAACTTGGATGCAAAACTTTTTAGGCTGGATCTTTTCGACCAGCAATCAATAAAATTATTTACGGACACAATTTCACGAGAATATGTTATTGTGGGAATTGATGCGACAGGAGGTATTTTAAAGCCCCTCCCACGAGATGCCCTATATCCTAGCAATGATCCTGCTGAAAAAACTCACAGGAACAAAAGGAACTCATTGTTATTGTACACTATTGTGGCGCAAACGAAGCAGGGAAGCTTCATTGTGGCTGACAGTGTTTTAATGCGAGGTCAATCCAATGATATTGCGGGTCCTCTTACTAGCATCAAGCGAGGTGTGAAAAAATTACGCCCATATCAGACGAAGAGTGCCCCTGATGTAATATGTACCGACTTTAATTTCGCCATGCTTCATGCTGTGTCTGAGGGATATAACACAATGAAACTAGAAGAATATTTGAAGAAAAGTTACGCCGTCCTCAAAAACGAGGACACGTTTGCTGGAGATACGGCGTGCATACAATTGTGTGCATCTCATTTGACAAAGTCATTTCTTGACAATGTTCGCAAGAAAACCGTTGGACATAAATTTCGAAATGAGATCGTGGACGCGAGCGTGCGAGGGTTAGCCAAATTACAAGAGGCGTCAACGCTAAACGACGTGGAAATCGCCATGAAGGATATATGTACCCTATTTGGGAAGGAGAAGATGTCCCCCGAAGATGTCCAACACAATCTCGCGCGAATCAAGTCAATTTCTCTTGAAGAATGGGTGGATGGGGACGTTATAGTGGATGACTATGCAGGACCAGACGAGGAAGAAGTAAACGCAAGTAGGTTATTACGTGAGAAGTCGCCATTCTACCACACTTTTCAGAAAATAAGAAGAATTGAAGAAAAACACGTGAATTAGGATGCAGAGTTGAACCCATTTTACAATCCTGCTGTGCTGAACGTGTTTGAAAACACATACGCCCCATACGTTGGAATTTTCGCACGTGGAGTTGTGCAGCAAACCAAGAACGCCAACTTTGTCCGGGCAACGAATGGATCATGTGAATCAGAGTTTCGGCTATTAAAGCAAAATCTTATCGTGGAACCGGAAAATGTCGCCGACTTTGTTCGGCATCGCTTTGAAATTACAAATGGTAAAAACAAAAAATTTGTATTCGACAATCTACCAAAGAAACCAGCAAGCAAAGAAGCTAAGCTAGTTACAAAAACGCTGCAAAATGACGACGAAATCGAACGTGGAGATATTCCAAAGGGACTAATTCAAGAAGAAGTTCAAGAATGCAAGGAGACATGGAGCAAAAGAAAAAAAGGCGAACGAAAAAATAGATATTTACATAATAGGACTGAGCTTACCAAGCTTGACGAGGAGAAGGCAAGAGAGAATGCAAGGGTTCAAAAGATTGGGAGAGACAGGTCTTCTCAACCCAACTCAACAAGTTCTTACTCTGAACAATCAAAATAATGTAGCACGAACTATGGATGGATGTTTGGAGACTCGGTAATGTAGTATTTAATATTTAAACGAACTTTAATAACCGTTTGATAGCGTATTCTACAAAAATGCCCGACTGAAAGATGTTTTATTCTAGTCTAAATACTAATTTATTCCTATACAAAATCGGGAAAAATAGGCAAAGGCGTAATAAAACATCCGCGGAAGAAGAGGAGACTACCACAGCTAACCTGGAGTCAAAGTTCAGGAAAATAGTCTCGGACATTCTGACGGATCAGCAAGGGAATTCTGGTCTGATTAGCCTAACTGAATTTTTGCAAACATTTATTACCAAATTTCTTATAACAGTTATAACAATAAAAATCTGTTATATTCTTAGCCAAGCAATCGCTGCGGAAGCAAGTTTTGGGTGAAGAATTTGTCACCCAGGAGAAACAATATCAGCGATATAAGTAACTTGCAAATACATGGACGATGAATTTAATTGTAATTATTGTACAGAATCGTTGAGAATCTTACTGAGGATTCACTCATGATGGCTTACTCCAACATTAAAGAAGACATAATGGAACTTTACGTGGCCAATCGGGATGAATTTGTCGGCGGCTACAAATGTGTTCGACAAAAGGTTCGACAAAATTTTCCCAGCTATTTAACTAGAACCTGATATAGTAATATTCTAATACATTATTTACGCAGATGTGGGTGGAACGAAAGCCAAACTTTTCTGGAAATTTGCAGCAAATGGTGGTATCATATCCATTTACCACAAAATCTTGCTCTAAGATATGTTCCACAGTTTCCTCCGATATCCAAAAGCTTAAAAACATCTCTGCTCTAGGATTTGAAGTATCTTGACAATGATTATTTCACAATTTACATTTAAAGAAATTATGTATTATGTATTCTTACTATATATTCTTATTTCAGGACATTTTACAAGTAACAACCGTTCTGCTTCCCGAAACACTGGAGCTAATTTACTCTGATGTCTTGAAAACACCACTTCACCAAGCAAGAAAAGAGCTTTCCAAAATCTCGCCATTTGACTAACTTGATAAGCTTATAAATTTAAGTTATACGAATCTATACTACATGTTCATTATTGAGAATCAAAGTAAAACTAAGGAAGAAGGCAAAAGTAACTCTGAGTTTATTTATATGGATCCGATGCATCTGGAGGGTGCGGGACCATACCAAAAGATGACCAGGGGTGTGGTCGGTAATACATGCAAGCATGGAGGCGGTAGTCTGAAATCCCGCTGTAGGAAACGGCGACAAACCCAAAATTAGCAAAAACTCCAAGTTATGACTTTTACCGGCTTGGATATTTTGACCAGAGGGATCTGGCGGGTGCGGGTCCGCAGTAAATGATGACCGGGGGTGCGGTCAATAACATATGTGAGCATGGAGGCGGTAGTTTGAAATCCCGCTGTAGGAAACGGCGACAAACCCAAAATTAGCAAAAACTCCAAGTTATGACTTTTACCGGCTTGGATATTTTGACCAGAGGGATCTGGCGGGTGCGGGTCCGCAGTAAATGATGACCGGGGATGCGGTCAATAACATATGCAAGCATGGAGGCGGTAGTCTGAAATCCCGCTGTAGGAAACGGCGACAAACCCAAAATTAGCAAAAACTCCAAGTTATGACTTTTACCGGCTTGGATATTTTGACCAGAGGGATCTGGCGGGTGCGGGTCCGCAGTAAATGATGCCAGGGGGTGTGGTCAGTAATATATACAAGCATGGAGGCGGTGGATTGAAATCCCGCTGTAGGAATCTATGCGGATTATTTTGTTAGTTTGTTAGTTAGTTTTCGGGATTTCTTGAGTATTTTAGAGTAAAATTAACATTTTGGGGTATTATGGTACGGCGAAGGGTTAGAGAAGTCGATGTACAAGGTTTTTTGGAAGTGGCATCTGCGGGTAGGCGGTAGGAAGGGAGGCGGCGGTTGGCGGTAGGAAGAGAGGCGGCGGTTGGCGGTAGGAAGAGAGGCGGCGGTTGGCGGTAGGAAGCTGGACGGTGGGCGGCAGCAGTGCACTCAAACCCAGGTACAGCTTCACAGACGTCCCTTCACTTTTCCTTTTCAATTGTACTTATTATATCAATTTATTGTGTTTTGTGCAAAATGCAGTACTTTTCTACGACTGTTATTATCATACCTAGTAAAAGCTAAAGGTGAAAGGTTATCAGTTAACTAAATAATCTTAAGTTCTCTGGCTAATTTGTGTTATCTTTTGTCTGAGTCACAGCCTGTGACAGGATAATATTGACTTATTTTTGTTTATGTTGACTTTACAAAGGAAAGTATTAGAACAATGATCTTGCTTTAAGTATATATAAATTTCTAATAATTTTGCAACCTTTTCGTCCTATTTTTCGTACTCATTTATAATATTGATACTAATATTGCTCAAAAATTACAGAAACCTCAACTCAAGCTTTAAAAAAATACTTACATAATTTAGCAAACCAATATACTGGAGACATTTAATGTTACGCTTAATTAAATAAATCCTAATGATACAATGCAACGATCAATCTAACAAGTAATAGCTTTAATTTAATAGTAAAATTACTTTAACTTCTAATCATATTTATCATTTTTGTTCGAATATTTATTCGACTTTTGCCAGTATTTGCCTTTAAAAGCACCAAATTAGTAAGAAGTATCAATCAAACTTTTATTCCCTTCTTAAATAAAAAAAGTAACAATGTGATAAATAGCTCTGCATGATGTCTGATCAATTAAAAAACAATCTCAATTAATAATAAATAAGTAGATATGCGCATAGTAAATCATACTTTACTGAAGGTATGATTATTTGCCTGCACTTTCAACTTTAGAAGAACTACAGTAACACGATTAAAATTGGAGTCTAGTCATCGGGAATATACAATAAACAATGTCCTATGTCCTATTAGAAAGTAGCAGAATGCGAAACCGAAAGGGGGTTTTCCTCGTGGGGTGTTTAATATTTAGCTGTTTCGTCTTAGTTTATTATCTTCACGTTATCGATGGTTTAGGGGGTAGTAGTGGTAATTTGGGGTTTTTTAACAGACCCAGGTATCAATTCAAACCTGGTAAGCCATTTATCCATTTAATTTATCTACAAAATGATTAAACTATATGATTTTTAATAATTATTTGATTATGATTTGCAGAATATACCGACTTGAACGGTCCCGATGTTAACTATAAGGATCCAAAACTACTTCAGAAACTAAAATCTCACCACTTGCACCGATGGACGACGAATAATTACAATTTGACCAACACCACGACAGACTACGACCCCTCGATGGGACAATCACAAATAGTTCGAACTTTGTTCGAAAATGATGGTAACAGAAAGGACAAATTTTTTATCGAGTGCGGTGCGCTGGATGGAGAGCTGAGGTCGAATACGCTCTACCTCGAAAGGGTGCTAGGTTGGGAGGGTCTACTAATTGAGGCCGATCCTGATAACTTTAAGGAACTCGAGTGGAAGAGGAGGAAAAGTTGGGCGAGTAACTCTTGCCTCAGTACGAAAGAGTACCCAACAATGGTAACGCACCGTGAGATGATAATTACTAGAAAATAATTGCCTAATTATTTTGTAAATCATTATGGTACAGGTCTCGTTTGAACAAAAAGTAAACCAAGGGAGGATCAGTGCCTTTACTGCTGGCTACTTGGAAAAGGGTTTCGTGGATGTACAATGCTATCCGTTTGCGACTTATATGACACTGCTCAATAGGTCAAGGGTGGACTACTTTTCTTTAGATGTGGAAGGTATGTTAACTAGATTTAAGTAAAGGACGAGGAATAGTTGTAAATATTAATTAACTAACACTCCTTACACTTTTGAAGGTTTGGAGCTACAAATTCTTAAGACGATAGACTTCAACAAGTTTGACATCAAAGTGCTCTCTGTGGAATTTGTAAGTCACTTTATCAATCAACCCATGTCAATTTTCATGAAAATTGTCTTTCCAAAAATTCCAGATCCATGACAAAGAAGGGAAGGAGGCCATCCGTGAATTTATGATAATGCAAGGGTACTACGTCAAAGCACTCGTCACTCATCCTAATTGGCTCGCGAACGACTTTATTTTCGTAAAAGAAGGGTTATAACCTCTCAATTGATGATTACACCAACATTACCAAAGTTATTGAAATAAAAGTAAATTGTTAAGCTTCAAGACCTGATTTCCTATCGACGTATAATCTGGGAGTAAATATCTCGCGAAGAGTTCACACTTGGAGGTAAATTCACGCTGGAAATAATCCTCCAACACATCAGTTAGTGGTGGCTTATGGGAATTAATGGCGGATGGGGTCGAAACTATTATCCGCATAGGGTAGTTAATATGCGATTTAATTTCCGAGTTATTTGTCGCAATTATTAACGACTCAAAAGGTTGCTTTCCATCCTTTTTGGTGAAAGGAACCGTGACTCGACCGGAAGTGGTGACCTTCAACCAGTAGAATGTCGTGAGATGAACGAGTCCCCATTTTTTCATCATGTCTCCCAAAATCTTTTCCGTTTTGCTGTTCGTCGACCAAATGGCCACAATCGCATCCGGTTTTAAAATAGATCCCAGTCTTAATTTCTCAATTGATTCCGTCGAGTGGGTATCGTACCTGAGATAAAGAAATTCGTTATTAATTAGGATGACCAAATATTACTATCTTCGCTTAATATAAGTGTCGTATATTTTTTTTATACCCCATGCAATTCCCTTTCCTCCTCTTAATGAATTTATTTTTCCATGGAGGGTCCATCACAACAAGGTCGAACTTTTCAACACCCAAAAACACCCCGTCCTCCACAAAAAGGTCACAGTTGAAGAATCTACAATTAGGGGGGAAGAGGTATACTTTGTCCTTGAATTTCGTGACTACAACCGATCCTGTGGCGTTAGCACCGTGAAATTTTTCATAAACAGAATCCATTTGAGAGAATAGTTCTTGTGCGGTTTTCACAGCGATGGAATTATCGATTGCAGCAGCGTTATCTACAATTCGTTTATCAAAATATGGGACAATTTCAGACTTATAGACTGACTCCAGTTTAACAGCTAGGGCGTCTAGGTTGGTATGCGTGTTGTTGATGAAGGGTTTATGGATTTCGAAGAGGGTTCGAGTTAGCTGGTAATAATTTTGATTTACTACTTGGTCATTATTGTCAGTTTGTGGCACTGTATACTTAACCGAATCTGGATGTGAGATTATATAAGCGGTGGGAGTCGTGTGAAGAATCATAATAATGCGAGATAAAATTAATACGTTTATCAGATATCAGAAATTGTAAAAACAACAGTTTTCTAAAAAATTGTGAATTGAGTACGTCAATCGTCTAGTCTTAAATCTCTTCGTCCCACAGAAACATGTTCAAAACAAAGGGGCAACGTAAGCAAGTCTTCGCTCTGGAGGTGAATCGAGACAGATTTTTAGCACCAGACGAACATACAACAGAAACTAATTTTACATCAACCGTTCGAGTTTTCCAGGAATCTGATATTCGACGATAAAATTGCAACTAATGAAATTGGAATGAATTTGACTTTATGTACCACTTACCATTTTAATTTTCGACCCTTTGAAAGTTTGGATAGACATTTGTAAATTAGAAATTGTACAAATAAAGGAATGAAATGAATGCGGATTATGCGTAAAAGGAAATGAAAATTCTGAAAGCATGATTGATTTCGAATCAGACTTGTGGATAATATGAAGGTAAGCTAACCTATGACCCTAATAACACTCATGCGTATTTTACAATTTTAGCATTTTATAAATGCATCCAAATTGGATGTCGTCGCTGCAGTCTCATCAAAATTTCATATAATTATTTGTATGCATTAAGTAATAGACAAACTTGAAACATCTATGAAATTGGTTAACGGATCAAGAATTGTTTATTTTCAGGTTACTTTGACATTCAAGTCAAAATTCAATCTCACTCTGCCTCAATTTTAATGAGTTGAATAATAAAACATCAGGGTTGTTAAAGAGACAGTAACTTGATAAGGGGTTGCGCAACGTGAGCACTTTTTGCGATTTTTTAAATTTTGAAAAAGCTGGTGGTCCGGACCACCAGCTCCTGATTGGTTGTTAGGTTTTCCATGCAAAATTTGATTTTTTGGCTTATTCTGGTAGCTGTTTGTCCGTCTGTTGTCACGATGAAATTTATATTTATCTGAGATTTCTTTGAATTATCCTTGTGTTTTAATATTGTTGGAATTCAAATTTTTATCGATTTAAAATAATGTGGAGTGTTTTTATAATGTATGTATATAAAAAATGGTATTAAATTGTGCTAGTGTATTTGTATGTACATATGCTGGTAATTCCTGAATCGGGCTATGCAAAGTTGTATAGTGAGATTTAATTGAGTTTCCCCTCCGTTTCCCCGCTTAGTGATTTAGCTTAGTGATTAATTTTTTTCAAAACTTAATTTTTTAATTATTTTAAAAAAATCGCCCACGTTGCGCAACCCCTTATCAAGTTACTGTCTCTTTAACAACCCTGATAAAACATAATAAACCCTTTAAACGAATATAAAAAAGTAGCGTCAGAGCGATCTAAGTTTCCTTTAAAAGTATCCATATCCCATGACAATTATGTATCTTTGACCCTTGACCTTGATCTCAAGGTCATGAGGTCAAAAATATTAACGTCCTTGAAATCGCCGTAAAATTTCCTTTAAAATGATACCCCATATGACAATTATGCATATTTTGACCTTTGACCTCGTCGTCAAGGTCATGAGGTCAAAACTATTAACATATTTGAAATCTCCGTCAAATTTCCTTTAAAATGACACCCCACATGAAAATTTTCGTCCAATTTAATTTCGACCACACCCCCTGTCGCAGTATGGTGTGGTCCGATTGACCCCATTTTCGAACTCGGCCGAGAACTAAAAATTAGAAACATAATGTCGAAAACGGCGTTTAATTATATTAACTCGTTCTGGAGATATCCTGCTGACGGACGGACGGACAAAACGATCACAATAAGTAGCTGACGCTACTTAATAATAATCCAACTCGACTGCACTTTATCGGATGTATTTAGTTGTTAGCAGCGTTACACAATCTCAATATTTTGTCAATAATATGCATTAGTGTGGAAGGTACCAATAAATTGTGCAACATGATCAACAATAAAATAAATCGAGTATGAAAATAAATGCAAGTATTATTTTTTTAGCTCTTTGGAAAAAGTGGTGGCCCTTAAAAGGGCCGTTGGGTTTTGTTGTTTTTGGAAGTTGGTCAGGTCATCGTCTACTTGGAAGAGGTGTATTTGGTGACAGCCTTGGTGCCCTCAGAGACGGCGTGCTTGGCGAGTTCTCCAGGGAGGAGGAGTCGGACGGCCGTCTGGATTTCCCGAGAGGTGATGGTTGACCTCTTGTTGTAATGGGCCAGGCGGGAGGACTCGGAGGCAATCCGCTCGAAGATGTCGTTGACGAAAGAGTTCATGATGGACATGGCCTTGGAGGAGACCCCAGTGTCAGGGTGGACCTGCTTGAGGACCTTGTAGATGTACACGGCGTAGGACTCCTTCCTCTTGCGGTGTCGCTTCTTCCCGTCCCCCTTTGGCAAGTTCTTGGACTTTGACACGGCCTTCTTCCCCGCAGCTTTCCCTCCGGTTTTTGGTGGCATTTTGCAAACTTGTTTGAGATCTACTTCAAGTGAATTCAGAAAATTGAATGATGATGGGACGGAGAGACGACGAAGCTTTTATATGAGGAGGCTGAGTTGTGAGCTGAGTTGTGGAGAACTCAACAGAGTTTTGGAGAATGGAGGGAAAATCTTGGGTTGAGTTGCCGAGAGAATTCCTGAGTTCTCACATTTGCGAGGTATCTCGAGTGGAGGGAAGAGAGAGGAGGAAAAAGTCTACCCGGTTCACCAACGTCCGCTCTCGCTCTCGAGGTGTATATAATCAATCTCATTTCAGTCAATCTCCATCACTCGTCAACTTGCAACTTTTACAAGTTCACTCTACTTCTCATCAAATTATTTCAAAATGACTGGTCGTGGCAAGGGAGGAAAGGGACTCGGCAAAGGAGGCGCCAAGAGACATCGCAAAGTCTTGCGTGATAACATCCAGGGAATCACCAAGCCTGCCATCCGTCGTCTTGCTCGTCGTGGGGGTGTCAAGCGTATCTCTGGCCTTATCTACGAAGAAACCCGTGGAGTCCTCAAGGTCTTCCTTGAAAATGTCATCCGAGACGCCGTCACCTACACCGAGCACGCCAAGAGGAAGACGGTCACCGCCATGGACGTCGTCTATGCCCTCAAGCGACAAGGCCGCACCCTCTACGGATTCGGCGGTTAAACTGATCTCGTCCCTTCATCAAGCCCATCTTATAACCCAACGGCCCTTTTAAGGGCCACCACATTTTCCAAAGAGCTATAAATCAATCAATCTACGTAATACATTAAATGCATACATGATGATGTGTCTACTTATTATTGCACTGGTCAAGTTTATGATAAGAGATTTATCTATGCGATTTATCGGATCAAAACTCGTAAATTTTGCATAGTAATCACGCTGCATGCTGTTAAAGTTTGCACGAATTAATTTAATTTACGAATCTTGGTTCTGCGAATTTGTGTCGGTTGATGATTATATGGAGGAAATAACGACACAAAATAAAAATTCTTATGAAAGATATATACAAACTGAAATGATTCTCAAAATTACATTGCTGTGATGGTTGAGTGGAAATCTAGTAAATTTTGCATACATGAATAACATTAAATCATTGATGATTATGCATTTAATTATTATTATTGCACTGCCGTGTGAGGGGATGGAAAATGTCCCCACGGTTATTTGATGTTTTGGGAGGACAACCAACAAGAAAACGAAAAGGGGACGCCGTGGATGGGAGGATTTGTTGGTGACCGTGGTCGCAATCCCAGCTCATTAATTGTCGAAGGGTGGGTTATAGTCAGTTACATACAAGGCTGTATGGCCCGCTTCTCGTCCATTGCATTATGACTCATCACTACCCGAGCAGCACCATAAATTCATGGTAAGTACCGGACAATTTTTGCTCAAAAAATTTTAAAACGGAAAATTTGATGTTTTTTCCTACCATAATATATACCTAGACATATTACAGCATAAAGCCTGTTGGATTCCCGTTCGAAATTAAATTTTAGTTAATTAAATTTTTCAGGAAATATTTAAAACCAAAATTATAGCGATTCGAACGGAAACCCAGTATGTAGTATTTCAATTCTTGATCCGTTAACCAATTTCATAGATTTCAAGTTTGTCTATTACTTAATGCATACAAATAATTATATGAAATTTTGATGAGACTGCAGCGACGACATCCAATTTGGATGCATTTATAAAATGCTAAAATTGTAAAATACGCATGAGTGTTATTAGGGTCATAGGTTAGCTTACCTTCATATTATCCACAAGTCTGATTCGAAATCAATCATAAATAAACTACGAAGGGGTATTAATCACTGCATACATAAATTTCAGGAGGGCGAAATTACTGATTTAAATTGTAAAAGTGCATAAATGCTTTGAATGCACAAGGAAAAATAATTCCTCATCCATCCACCCGTTTCATTTTATTTTGCATCATTAACTAACAGCACTGCTTTGTTGACAATACTTTCTCGTCAACAAATAACCGTATAAAAATATGAAATGCATAAAAATAGAACTTGACGAGAGGAAGTTGGGCATGAACAAAGAAAGTGCATGCTCATAGTTAAATTATGTATCATTCGTCGGTACCGAATTTTTTTTAGCTCTTTGGATAATGTGGTGGCCCTTAAAAGGGCCGTTGGGTTGTTAGCGTGTAGATTTGTGAAAGCTGAGGAATTAGGCGGACTTCTTTTCCGTCTTCTTGGGGAGAAGGACGGCTTGGATGTTGGGAAGGACACCTCCCTGGGCGATGGTGACCCCGGAGAGCAACTTGTTCAATTCCTCGTCGTTTCGGATGGCGAGTTGGAGGTGACGGGGGATGATCCTGGTCTTCTTGTTGTCTCGGGCAGCGTTTCCAGCCAGCTCGAGGACTTCAGCAGCCAAGTACTCCATGACGGCAGCCAAGTAGACGGGGGCACCCGCACCCACTCGCTCGGCGTAGTTGCCCTTCCTCAAGAGACGATGGATACGACCCACTGGGAACTGGAGCCCTGCACGGCTGGATCGGGACTTTGCCTTTCCCTTCACCTTTCCTCCCTTGCCACGGCCAGACATGATGAGTAGTTTGTTTTTGGAACTTGGAGAGAGATGTTCTCAGATTGAGATATCAGCAGCTTGTGATGAACTTTGTTGGAATCGAGCTTCAATTTATACCAACTGGCTGAGTTGCGGAGCAGACCTCTTGAGTTCTGAGGAGCGAGCGGGCTTTCACTGCTTACTTTCAGCCAATCCTCATTCTCGCTCAGAACTCAGCCCTTCTCTATAAAACTGCAGCCCAAACTGAAAAACTTCATCACTCGCTGTCTCATTTTTCTCTTGAGAACAACTCTAATACCCAATCTACAAACAAACAATGGCTCGTACCAAGCAAACTGCTCGTAAATCCACTGGAGGGAAAGCCCCCCGCAAGCAGCTCGCCACCAAGGCTGCAAGGAAGAGCGCCCCTGCGACCGGAGGTGTCAAGAAACCCCATCGTTACAGGCCCGGAACCGTCGCCCTCCGAGAAATCCGTCGTTACCAGAAGAGCACTGAGCTTCTCATCCGCAAGCTCCCCTTCCAACGACTTGTGCGAGAAATTGCTCAGGATTTCAAGACGGATCTCCGATTCCAATCCTCCGCCGTCATGGCTTTGCAGGAGGCGTCCGAGGCCTACTTGGTTGGTCTCTTTGAGGACACCAACTTGTGCGCCATCCACGCCAAGCGGGTCACCATCATGCCCAAGGACATCCAACTCGCTCGCCGAATCCGTGGAGAACGTGCCTAAACAGTTGTCATCCATCACATCGCAAAAAAAACCCAACGGCCCTTTTAAGGGCCACCACTTTCTCCAAAGAGCCGTCATCATCATAGATTTATGCCAATCCGAATTTGTTTTTATTTATGCATGCTTTCAGAATTTTCATTTCCTTTTACGCATAATCCGCATTCATTTCATTCCTTTATTTGTACAATTTCTAATTTACAAATGTCTATCCAAACTTTCAAAGGGTCGAAAATTAAACTAATTTTAAGTGGTACACAAATTCATTCCGATAATGACACTTTATGATAAGAGTATGATTATCCCATGTTCGATTATCAGAGATTTGTTAGAAAATATTTAAGACTTTTTTTTTACTTTTCATGTAACTGGGTCATAAATATGCATACATGCATGTTGACACTCAATTTACATGGTTAAAACATCTAGCTCAACTTCCTGTATTATTTTTAAAACATGCAAATGTTTATCGTATTAAATATCATAAATAATAAATATTTTAAAACTGCAATGAATATCAGATTGGCTTATACATTTGCTGCTCTATTGCATGCAAATTAACTCTAAACTAACGTCAGATTTGAACTCTTCACCTTGTTAAAATCCATGCCACATGCAGGATTAAATTTCGGCAATGACAATGACACACGAAAAATAATATTACGCAATACTTACAAGTTTAATCATAATTGAACCCTGTGATCAGGCTAAAGTAAATACTATGCAAAGCGATTGATCGTTAAATAAATCAGACTTATCATCATCATCCTCGTTTTTTTCAGCAGGAGACTCATTGAGTGAGATCAAGCAGCTCAGTTGCGGGTGTGTGGGATGAAAGTAAAAGTATTTTTGGAGGATTGCGTAACAAAACAGAAATTCCTCACTTTTAAGTGAGGGACAAAACTTTAATTAATTAATTTAGTTAGCTTTATTTGACTGAAATTTATTTAAGAGATTTTTTATCGTGTCGTCCCACCAACGAGATATAAGTTTAAATAACGATTTAAAACTGACGTTTGACAAATTATAGTAATTTTTAAGCATCGTTGGTAAGTTTAAGTCAAGCCACATGCTGAAGCGATACAGATTCAAGTGTAATTAATTAAGGTAAAATTGTTTATTTTTGTGCAGAAAACACCCCACTTTCTGGTCTATGGTGGCGCTAGAAGAATTAGCAATACTGTCGGTTTGTTTGAATTTGACATGTCCACGGAGGCACCTCCATCAGGCCATTCTCCCACGACAGGGAAGGGTCATGATGTCGAAATTGGCTTGTCCCGCACCGTTCTGACCCAAATCTTTGGAAATGAGTTTGTCTCCACTTTGTTGGACTCTTATCAAGATGTGGGCGGGGTACAAACTCCAAATTCTGATGAAATTCTGCACCCTTCCCCTGCAAAGAGTCATCTTGTCTCGAATGATGGACCCAGCAAACCAAAGACCCCACGAACCTCGGCGAAGGATCCAACGACGCTTGAAGATTTGAAGACGCTAGGGTGAGCTGACTGAATTATCTAGTTATCACAGTTTCTACTCTTCTAATTTAAGAGTATGAGCATTAAAATAAGAATAATATTATGGTACCTGTTTGATTTAGGTCACCAAACTCTCCAAACTTCTTGGATCATTTGGCCGAGCACATGCAACGACAACTGGACAGATTAGAGGAGACTGAGAGGCGACAAATGGACGCCGTCCAGCACGAGGGTAGACTTGGGCCGACCGTTGTCAAGATGGGTAATTAATTCATTGATGGTTTAAATCGTGTTTTAATTAAATGTCAAGATATTTATGATTATGACTAATTTTTGTAGACGTAGGATCGCATGTTGGCTCCTTCATAATCAGTACCGACAGGCTTGGGGTCAGCTCCCAATGCAATTTTGGCTCAGTTCGAGCCTGTGCATGTGTGTATAAAGGAAAATGGCAGTACGAAGTGCAATTGGGGTCTAATGGTGTCATGCAAGTGGGCTGGGCGACGTTGGAGACCAAGTTTTCCCAAGAAAAAGGAGTCGGAGATACGATCGATAGGTGAGTTCTTGTTTCAATTGTACTGCAGTTTAAGTATTTTTTTATAATTCCCTTGATCTGGACTTTAGCTTTGCCTATGATGGAAATCGCCTCAGGAAATGGAACAAGAGCACCGCCCAGTACGGTGAAACTTGGCAAGCAGGTGATATCGTGGGCTCGTGTATCGACATGGATTCAGGAAGTATAGAATTTTTTAGAAATGGGAGAAGTCTTGGTGTCGCATTCACTGAAATTCGTCGAGGACCCAAAATCGCATACTTCCCAGCAGTCAGTTTAGGTAAAAATATTTCCGTGTAATTCTTGCAGAAATCATTATTAATTATTACATATTATCCTTCTATTATCCATTTTCAATTATAGCGTATCAAGAAAACATAGTAGCAAATTTCGGCGCAACCCCGTTACAATTTCCCGTCGTAGGTTATTCCCCAATTCAAAGCCTTCCTCGTACCGCTGACAATATGAAATCCACCCTGTTACTCTCCTGGTTCGAAAAGCTGCTGCCTTACTATCGAAATAACGAATTTAACGAAACGTCTACTAACGAATACAAAGCTCTTCTCGTCATTTCAAACAGAATCATGGAATTTTTAGGGCCTAATTTATACTCTGGATTCGTCGTTGAGCAATCTTTTTATCCATTTTTTGCCCGAATTCTTGGCCTTCCGGAGAAGATTAGTCACGCTGATAAAATTTCGAGTAGTAGTTATAATGAACTCAACTATGACAGGGTAATACTTTTGTTGGATATTATGTGGACACTGCTTGAGGTGAGTGCTTGCTAATTTGTTTGTTAATATTTGCAAATTGATTATAACAATTGTCTAAATGTTAGGAGAGCGAGATGAAAAGCTGTTTGGAACGATTTTGTGTCGTACTGATGAACCAATTTAGATCGAATTCAATGTCCATGGAGTATCCGTTTCAACGATATAGTTTACTTTGTTTAATTGCGTTAGGTATTCAACTTTGACATTTTTAATTAGGTTTTATCTCTTTAAAATGCATATTTTTGACTTGTATTTAGTAAAACATCGAAAAACGAGGAGACATTTCATAAGAAGTTTGTTACTAGATCGATCTGGGTACGTATTATATGTAATATATAATAGAAGCATGAAATGAACTTGGTATTTTGCTCAGCAGTCGCCTAGTCCATTTTCTCCACGTTCGCCCCATGGACGAATCTATTCTGGCTTCCAATGTCCCAGAAACTTGGTGGCCAGGAAAAGGGCCCAAGTCCGTCGCGTATGAACGAGCTTGTAACGTAATTCAACAACAAGTTTCAGGTCAGGAGAACTGCACGAACTTGTTTGTATTGGAATTATTCATGAATTTAACGAGCAATTTTTTTTTTGCAGTTATCGAAAACTTACAAATCATGCTTTTAAAAGTCCTGTTAACTAACAACGACGGAACTGACCGGCGACCTTCATCTCGTGCCCTTTTCCTACGCAAGTTTAGAGTTCATGTTCGAGATGTCATCCGAGTAAGTTGTTTAATTACGATTCGTTTCAATTAATATACGAAGTTGACTCAATTAAACGTAAATTAGCCTGGGTCTGTGCTCCACCAACCAATTCAGAAAGCGATGTGCTGTTTCTTTTCGTTTCTGAGAACGATATCCGAACTCTACTCTGAAGAAGTTGAACACTGTACCGAAATTAAATTTCCAAACATTCCACCATGCATATTTTATGACACTTCGGTATGTTGTAACACTTTGCATACATCGAAATGTCAGGGTCATCTTACAGGGGTCTCCCAAATTTTGCTACAAATTTCACTAATTTTTCCTAAAATTTCGCCAATTCACCCTCACTGGGCGCTTCGCGTCCCGGACCGCTGTGACCTTTCGGTGTTTTTTTTTCTATATGTATACTGTTGACTAATCTAAAACATTATTAGGTCGCGTACCACGACATGGAACGAGTCGGTGGTTTGGCCTCCTACTTATACAAAGCTCACCACACCGATATCGCGACCAAGCTATCCATCCCGGACTACATACAAGAAAAACCTGCGGCTACTTCTTCTGAACAGCCTGATCCATCCGTTGCTGGTTCATCTCTGACTGGTAGTCCCGTCATAATTCAAGTTTCTACCTCCGCTGCTACAGCAGACGACAACATTATTACGAGAGATATGGCCATAGCTGCTGCCTCGCCAGATATAATCATGACGATTCCACACCGTTTTGCGTCACCTCCACCACCTCCTCCGCTTCCCCCTGCCCCTCCAGTCGCCATGTTTCCGACTATGGGCTCACCTCCTTTTCCAAGGGAAGTCACACCTCCGGCAACGGAGCCCGCTTCAGCAACAAGTTCGGACGGGGCCCTAGCCTCAGCACCACCACCAACAACAACACAGTTTGGCGCATTAATAACTGGGACACCGAGGTTGGTCGCGTCATTAGAAAAAAAACATTAATTTTTTAGAGTTTTGTTAAAAGTTATATTTATTTCATCTAGTGGTCACAATCTTTTGATTCCAATGATGACTGACTTCCGCACTTTGGAACAAGGTTTCACATTTTATCCAGGAGGATTCGTCGGATTTACAAATATTGACCATCGCACTAGTGTCCAGCCTAAAAATCCAGCAGTTGCCCTGCTAGGAAAAGACTCGGGATCAATTGACCCCCTCTTCAGTCTGAGGGAACTGCTAGATGATGCCATCATCATTTACTGCAGCGGAGTTCAAGCAAATGTGGAAAAGGTGGTGACTCTCAGGACGACAATCGATAGCTATGAGGAAGCCTTAAAACAAGCCAATGCGAACCTCGCCTCTGTCACAACTAGTTCCGAACGTGACGAGATTGTCCGCTCTATTGAAATATTTACAAACAAGTTAGAAGAACAATCACGCCACATGGCATGGGTAAAGAGCTCTGTATTCACCAAGGAACGTCAAACCTACGTCTACAAGTTGCTCAGAGTTGTCCTCGACACGCTAAGACTGGCTTCCACGGAAGGAAATTTGTTTACATTCGTGCCGGAACATTACATCTCAACGCTTATTAATTTGAATTGGCTCATCGTAAATCAAATGCATCCTACAGTTGCTTCGGATAATTTACCTGGTTTGTTATACAGAAATTCAGAAATTATACAAATGCGCTGGATTTGTTAAAAATTTACTTATTTTTTGTGTAGATCTAGCTCATTTGTTGTCTCAAGTTGCTGAGTTTGTTGCAACACATTTTGCCGACACGAGAATCGTCATTGCGGAAACGAAGGATACTCTTACGCAAGCTCTCAGCACTTTTATCTGTAATCGTCAAATGCTCACGGCACTTGAAGAAATGCCAGGGGAGTCTCAATTAGGAATGATCAAGGCTATTCTCCGTTCGTTAATTAATTAACATCCTATTTCTTAAGTAAAGAGTGCACAAGTTTAACAGATAGTAACATTTATAGGACCGTATGAAAACCGAGCATGGGCACAGAGTAATTGGATGCTCGTTAGAATGTGGCAAGGTGACGGGTTTGCATTTCAATATCCTAACTCATGGGGTTTCAGAAGATCTTATAGAGCAAAACCGGTCCAAGATGAGTTTGGAATTTCGACCAATTTGCGTACGACAACACTGCAAAATTAATTGATACTACTTAGCTTAGGATACTTTGAAATATGTATTCATGAATTTATTATGTGTAGCTCCAACGCCATCGAAAGTCTTCCAAAATCATATCGCCAATGTTTTGATGAACGATCAAACGTTTGCAGTGAGTTTCCTGCATTCGGTACTTAACCAGTTAAATTGGGCCTTTTCAGGTTTGTTTAATTATTTTAATCCTATGAATATGTGAAATTAAATTATTCTGATTAACATTCTAATTAACAACAGAATTTGTTGGATTGCTGCAAGAGGTACGATTATATTTAACATAACATAACGTGTTGGTGACGTGGTGTCACCAATTTTTGACTAATTCGTAACGTCTTATTTATTGTATTCAGATTCAATCCGCAAGTGCTCGCCCGGAACGTGTCTTCGTGGAGAGTAGACAATTGAAGATTTGCTGCACCTGCTTCGAATTGACGCAAGCTTTACTCCGAGTTATGGAAATGGTTGTGAATATTGCGCCTCCAGTATTAACAGACTTCACGCGAGATTCTGCAGAGCCTTTGCTAGGACGTCTTTCAATGGTGCAATATTACATATTTATTACTTCATTAATAGTCTTTTTAATATTGTCATAAAATTAGATTTAACATTTATAACATTACATTGTATATTTACAGCTACTGAGTCAAGTCATCAACAGGATAGGATCGAACACTGGCTGTTTTGCAAACGTTATCGATTTAGATATTCCTGGATTGGAAAATGTAACGCATTATCCCATTTTGAGTGCTGTTGCGGGGATCATAGTTGGGATGATTCTTCCCGACCTGGACAAAACTGGTTGATTAATTGTAGTTTTGATCACTCATTATACTCAATTGACTTATGTTTGTATTTCTATTTGCACCAGAATCCGATATCACTGCTACCAAAACTGTATTAAATGAACCAAGTTTTGAATCTAACTCGATGGACTTTTTTATCGGAAGGAATCAATCTCATGTTCCTGAGGGGAGAAGGATTTTCTCACTGAGAGACTGTGAGTAGTTGAACTTAACAACTGCTAGACATAATTCAATTATATTTCCATTTTCAGATGTCCCACTGGATGTTTCCGAAGGTGAAATGCACCAGTTGGATAGTGTGATTAATCACTTGAACTCGTGGTCTGAAAAATTGTTACCCGAAACGGGTGATATAGATGATGACGCGATCTGTACAATTTGTAAGTCGACCCGATATTTATGAATTGTTACAACAGTAGTTTGAAAATAAAATATCCGTCTATTATTACAGGTTACGCTTATCCAAAAAACGCGACGCTCAAACCATGTAATCATCGTACCTGCAAGAGCTGTATCCTTCACCACTTAATGAATCGTGGCGACTGTTTCTTTTGCAAGGCTCCAATTCTCCAAGTATTCCTGGACGATGGTACTAAAATCCACGACACAACTCTATCCTCCACAGAGCCCAACGAACGAAGTAATCATCGCCGCAGTTGAGATTACTTTAATCTTAATCCCCTCTTGGAATTTTTATCTGATGACGAATCCTAAATTTTTAACTCTTCGCAAGTATTTCGTAACCGATGTAGGATGATTTTAACTATTTTGAACGTCAGCCCGACTCTTAACCCCGTGACTGTGATTTTACTTCCGCTGCTTTAAAAGGATAATAAACGTAAACAGGATTAAATTGAACTGCATGAGAGCAAAGTCGTTTAAATACAAATCTCATACAAGAGTCATAAAATACCTAATGGACACATCATTATATCATCTAATCATCTCATCATAATTTCCCCTGGCCAATCGTCATGCATCTATTCCATGACATACCTTATATTACTCCTTCATCGTTTGCTATTTGAGTGAGAGTATACACAATCATCCATTTATGTACGAATCGTCGTGAATATATTCTTGTTTTACCATTAGTGGTACACATGCGTACCTACTTTTCGACAACAGGGGGTTTATTTACCCTGAGGATGAGTAGTCTATTTGATTGGTTTGACTCGCAACCATTTATTTATTGATCTTGATACCATTTACAAATAAAACAACTCTTTCTTCATTGTTTTGAAGTAGAAAAGTAGGAAAAAGGCAGCAAAAAATGCAACCCGTCCATCTAATCAGGTACGAAGAAGGGGAGGAGCATGTAATGGCAGCACAGCAGCCGTGAAACATCACCTTCTTTCACGCCTCATTGTTATATTTCGTCCAGGATTTACCTTTTCTCATCCATCTCAAGTTAGTTGAGATCGTCAATAATAAGGAAGCTAGCAGTCGTGCAAACAATAAGATTGAGGACCAGCAAAACGCGATTATTATTAGGAAAAGACTTGGATGAACCAAATCTCATCTCATCTCCAATCTGGCACTCACTTCACTCACATAGAGCTCCACTAATAAATCACATTTGAAAGAAAAACAAGCCTCGATCTAATTACTGTTACACCTTCTGGCTGGATAATTGAGACATGAATGATGCATCATTAATGCCACTGATTTTTTCCCACGCTCAATCAACCATAAATATTTGTTAATGAAGAAGCCAAAAGTTAAAGGTGAAAGTTCTCTCGTTAACTTATTTTTCACAGTTTTTCTGCTGTAATTATTTACATTAAAACAATCATAAAAAAATAAAAATATCTGGAATAGTTTCGTGAGAAGTTAATATGCAGCTACATATATGAATTGAGTAAGTCATTTACTGTTAGTATTTAAGTTATAGTAATGGTAGTGGTCTCATTTTTGCCCTCTTTTTTAACACAATATGTACAACACAACATACATAAAACTCATTCATAATGATGATAATGAAATATGATATGGAGGTTTAATACTCCATTAGAATGGGAAATGATGATGCGCAAGGGGTATTTTAAAATTTTAATGGTCAACCCATAAAATAAAAGCTAATGAAAATTAACATTAAAACTTTTCCAGCCAGTCAGTATCAAATTGCAGACTGCGTTTCATTCCTTGCCTACATTACATTTTCCAAGTCAATGATCGATCCCCTAAATCTTCCAGAAACCGATAAGTCTAACAAAATATTTATGGTGACATCCAATTTTCGCTCTACGTCAACAAACTCTAATTTCCTTACAAGAAGGGTACCAATCTCCCTCCCCAACCTGTCGTGAAATAAATAAATACAATGTTTCTTGATCCACTCCGACATGCTGCTGAGCTGGTTGACAAGCTAACAAAGGAGGAACATCCATTATTCAGCCCAATAATCCAAGAAATGAAAAATCGAACCCTTTTCTCAAAATTGGATACATAACCCAATCCGACTTTGTAATGCGTATCATTCTCATCGTACGATACGTATACGTCCAAAAGGGACCTCATAAAAATACTGAAATACGCCAAACCCAGACAAACAATAGATTTAAGTATAGATTCACTACTAGACACATACATCCATACTAATAATTCAATCCAATCCCAAATCCGACCATACTTTTACAGGTAAACACAATTCTGCCCACTTACTTTAAGTTAAGCTGCTGCTCTCGTTTTAAAAGTGTTGAACTTTTCTTCCACAAAATACATACATATTATTATATTCAATCTACTTCAAAGCAATTGCAGCCAGCCGAACGACGTGCTGGAAACAAACCTTTTTTCCAACTCTTGACACACAAGGCCTTCATTTCATTTCATCCACGTCCATATTATTCATCCAACTAACAAACATAAACCAAACCCTGCCCAAACTAAACCTTAGCTAAAACTATAATGCTCTAAATATAATGAATGGTACATTGCAGTGAGAAATACGAATACAATACTTTTCTTCAACTTCACTCTAGCATGTTTTTTTGTCTCAAAGAATATAATAGTCTCATCGTCGTCTCAAAAGTAAGTAAGTAATAATAATACTTTGCTTGTAATAAAAGGGGCTGCTTCTGCTGCTGCTGCTGGATTGTATAACAATAAGTGTGAGTACCTCTCCTCCTTAATAATAAGAATATTTAACTTGGGCTTACTTCTTCTTCACATTATCATTATATTATACACCTTTCCTACCAATAATACGTACTCAATACTAACAACGAGTGGTGAGACGTTTAAGGAAGGAAAGCCTCCATCCATCCAATCGGAAGAAATGTAGCAGAGATAAATAAATATGTATGTACACCTTAACCTGTCTTGTCTCCTGTTCCTCCTCGTTAAGAAATACATGCTCTTCTTCTTCTTCATCTTGATCATCATATCCAAATAGCAAATCTAGGCTTCATTTCTCATCCTCCTCCTACTTGAGTTGAGTTGAGAACCTCAAAAAGCATTTCATTTCATTTATTGAGCAGTAGTTTCTCTCCTGATTTTACTTACAAGACTGAACAATCTTCTTCATCTACGCTCTCTAAGCACTTAATTTCCAGGAGAGAATACAAAAGTTGTTGTTTAGTGTTAAAACGACCACTAAACCGAGTACACAATTTCTTCATTAATCAGAAGAGAAAAAGTCTCAGTTTTTCAAACCAACACCTTTCTTTTCATACATACATACGTAGAATGTATTTATTTATTACGTAATGTAAATAGGTGCTCCTTGTTCTCAACTTAAAATCTGTTTATCTAGAGATCTGCATCTGAACAATGATTATCACCTCGTAACATAATACGTGACATTATGTAAAGGAGTCGTAAATAATTTTTTTCCTGCGTATTTACCCAGTGAAGATGCCTACAATAGGCTTGTGCATAAAGGAAATTAAGAAAGAAGCGTGTGCTGCTGTGGTAGAAAAGGAGTGTGGCAGTGGAAATAAGAATATAATGAAATAATCAAGTGTGCACTTAAAAAGTGATAAAAGAAGGGAGGCATACATTATCTTCTCATGCATGCGATGCAGGGTTTGGAAAACCCCGGGGTTTTTGTAGAAAAACCCAACCCCTGGGGTTTTTCCGGGGTTTTTGGGGTTTTTGTGGGTTTTTGGGTTTTTGTGGGTTTTTGTGGGTTTTTGTAGATTTTGGGGCAGGTTGAACCAGAATTCCTAAAATTATATATTAGAGATAAACTAATTTTATATACAATTTTAACATGCAATTTTAACCGTTATCATTGATTTGGACTGTTACATCGAAAATTTATGTTTGACATGTAAATCTGGATATATGCAATGATATTTGGAAATTCAAGTCGCAAATGAAGATTCTCAAAATTTCAAGATGAAGTAGAAAAGTTAATTAGCATTGATCTACGTTGTAGTTTAAGGGATTTTGTTTCAATCTACCTCAAAATCCTACAAAAACCCCGGAAAAACCCACAAAAACCCACAAAAACCCGCAAAAACCCCATTAAGCATTAGGGTTTTTCCGGAGATTTGATACCCCAAAAACCCACAAAAACCCCAAAAACCCCAACCCACAAAAACCCGGGGTAGCGAACCCTGATGCGATGTACACAATGTGAAACAACAAAGTCAGCAGAAATCTTTGTTTTATTCCATTCAGCGCGTCTCGTGCCTGCTGCATTTCACTTCAACTTCTTCTTGCACGAGATGAAGATGATCTTCTTGGTGGATGGATTGGATTCAGTAAAAATTGTGCCCTGATCTGACCGTGAACTGTACAATGCGATGCGATGAGATGCGATGCGATACTGGATTCCTGGAGAATTGGATGCATGATAGAGTTCATTTTGTGAATGAGTCCACTTGATAGCATGGGCGTGAGAGGTACACAAATAGTTGATAAGAAATAATACTTTAGTTACATACGCACAACGGAGGTGAAATTGGAACAGAGATAAAATTGTGAAAAAAATGAGACAAATTCTAAAGAGTGTAGTTTAATTAAGACATCTTTCATGGTCAGGAACTGCAAATTACGACTTAATTGATTTGGAGATGTTAAATAGCGTGTAAAGTCACTGCAGAATGAGTCGTTGGTGGAGAAAGGGAGAGAAAAGTGGTGCCCCTTATTAAAACTGACAAATCAGCCAACTATGAGAAAATATGAACTTTCTCTTCGTAATTATACCTCTGATCGTCTCAATCCCCTCACTTATTCCTAATCTCATCGAGGCCAAGAGAAACAACGGACACGGAAATAATAATGATCGACCACGACGCCACCAACATAACGCCAACTCGGGCAATTCGGTGAGTTTCATCAGGTGTAATAAGTTTCAAAATTTTTGCAATTACTATTATGAAAAATTTTCAAAGTTCAAATGTTCAAAATTCTAACTCCTAGGATTTATCACTGTGGATTGATGAACAGTTTATTAAACGGATAAGTGGTAATAACTTCAAGTAAAAATGTTACATGGGAAAATTTCTTCAATTTCGATCATTTTTATTTAGGTTTCCCGATGGAAATTCAGATCATAACGGACGGCAATGTGCAGGTAGGTAGACAATTTTTGTCCAATGACATGAATTTGTTATTGCATTTTAAGTCTGTTCATTGTTACATGTTTATACCCCTGTTTTACTCAGCAATACCTGTTGGATCCTAATTTTGAAAACTATTTACCGGTGATACCTTCTGAGGTGAATTATAAAGACAGAAAAAAACTATGCATTAGTAAACAAATTTTTCATGCATTGCTATTATATACATGCAGGTTGGGATGGTCAACTTGACGTGGCGAGCAGGGGAGAAAAAGTACTTTTATAATTTTGACAGACTCCAGTCATTCAACGAGCAAGTGTTAACCCCACCCATCTTATCAATCGAAACGAGAGGAAAGATTCCTAGAAAGCCGAAATGTAAATGTGACAAAAATCTATTAGCTAATTTACATTACAGAAAAATTAATTACTTATGGATGTGTTATGGGACAGCTTTCAGCGTATTGCTGCCCTGTTCCGGGAAAGAAAGTGGGATCGCCCTCTTCACGATCGGCCTCCTTATCGAAACACGGAAAGGTCACGCCCTTCAAGGTAACACAAGTTCTCTGCTCGAAGAGAGTATTTTGTAGTCCATTTTAATTTGCAATTTAATTAGGATAGTTAAATATTTATAAATTATTATTATAGGAACCCCATTTAGGTTTAAGCTACGTAAAGAATGTATCGTTCGTGAAGGGCCGGATCAAGAATGTGATAAGAAATGTGCCAATGGGGGTTGGTGTACGAAGGAGAAAGTTTGCCAGTGTCGACAGGGATATCTCGGCCAGTACTGCCAGAGTGCGATGTGTTACCCGAGGTGCCAGGTAATTTAAATAATGTATAAATACTGAAGGTAATAATCCTAAGAACCCTTAACCCAAAGAAGAATATAACATAGTAAGCAGAAACGCCAACCAATAATATAACTGATCATATTTTAATTGACAGAATGGGGGGATTTGTTCTTCTCCTGGGGGTAAGGATAATTTACCACATTAATTAAAGTGCTTTTACGTAACATACTTCATTCAATTTTAAATTGCAGTGTGTGACTGTCCAAATGGTTTTCACGGAGATTATTGTGAAGGAGGTTTGAAATCTATTTAATTATTTCTTTACTTTTATCACAGCTTTTAATTATTCAATGGTCTAACTACGACTAAAGTCAGTTATATAATTTATATTACACCCTCTCACTAATCCAAATAGCAGCTTTACACCCCGTTTTAATCAAGTTAGTTAGTGCAGCATAGCCCGGTGTTTGTTCCGCCCCCTCTGCCAGCCCAGTATCGTGATGCTCTTGTTCTTCATCTCGAAACTTTGTAATGTAGTCTATCAGTTCTTTATTTCCTTCCAAATTGGTACTCATTAGTTGCCTAATCTGATTATTGTAATGTTCCGTGATTGTGGATTCTACTGCTACGGTGCACGCCATGGCAGCCTTTTCGCCAAGTAGAGCTGTTCCTATTGATTAAATTAAAATAACTTATCCAATTTAGTTCAGAAATTTAACAACAAGTTTGGTTTGTACCTGCGCCCAAGGCGAAGCCGGCTATATTCCAAAACGGTAACATCGCCGTGGGTCGAGCTCTATATTTTGGGATGAGGAGTTCAAACACTCGTAAATGTTCTTTCTCTTGGTCCCACATGTGCTGAATTAGTGGACCAGATTTAGTGCTCCCTATAATTATATAAGTAACTTCAATTATTACTGAATTCATTAGCAGACATCCTGTGACCGCTTGAAATTAAAATTTACCTAAAACTGCCATTTGTCCAGCATAAATTCTATTGGCTCCATACTCTCCAGCATGATCCACTCTTATCATTCGGTCCCTCATTTCGTGCAGCTTTTGGCTTTTGACTTGTGATGAATATCTTCTTACATGGGAAATCACACGTAGTGATGTGGGACGGTTCATGGTTCTAAAACATATAAAATAACTTAATGTTCAATTTGTCATTGTAGGGATTTGCGGAGAAAAATGCTTAAATGGTGGAAAATGTATCGGGAAAGATAAGTGTGACTGTGCTCGTGGGTGGGTATAACCATAATGTTTATTTATTTATATGAGATAGCACGTATGCATATTCATGAAAATAATCCATAATTCACAGGTATTACGGTCTTCGATGCGAGTTTAGTAAGTTGGTTTACAAATCGACAAAATTAAATTGGAAAAAAGAATGTGAGCATTTTTCTTGTTTTAGGCAAGTGCATGATTCCTTGCCTCAATGGAGGTCGTTGTCGAGGGGTAAATAGGTAAATGTTTCAACTAAGATAAATGTCACCTAATATTTAAATAACAATGAGAACAAAATGTGTTGCAGTTGTCGATGTCCCTTTGGTTTTTCGGGAGATCACTGTGAAATCGAACTAACTACGAGCAACCGGTCCATCTCGCAACGCCACACGTGTTCTGTCCCTTGTCGACACGGGATTTGTGTCAGCCCGAATAAATGCGAATGTCAAAGAGGTTGGCGTGGGAAGAAATGTTCGAGAAGTAATTATACAAAACTATGTACAAGTAATCAATGAATTTAATTATTAACTAATGGCACTTGTAATATAGGAATTTACACGGACTAGAGGAAAGTCAAAAGTGAATCCTTCCCTTCTAACCTAATCATTAGTCGATCTTATAATTCCACTTGTGAAATGTGATTTCCCTGTACACAAAACAGAACAGCCCACACCAACTAAACTTATGCCAGCATATACATTTATTTTGAAGGATTTGTTGATTAATAAAATGACTTTGAAATAAAGTGAAAGTTTCACTTCGCCGGTGAAAGCTTAAACCTTTCATAGTTAAACTTACAACATTAATAAGTATTGCATGTCAATATTAGCCATAACAGACCCTTACTTATGTGTTACTTTACCCACTCAATCTAATAACCCCCCTCAAAAATAAATTACCTTTCACCCTCGTTCCAAACGTTAAAAAAAATTCAGAATAATAACAAATTGAACTTTCTTATTCCTTGATTCTTTTAAATAATTTCCCACGGTACATTGTCAACATTCCCGTCTCATCGCACCCCATCCACATTTCGTCGCCATATCGTCGTTAATATTGTCGAAAGTCGACAAACCCTTATCATACGGCACGCCCACTCGATCTCTTACCTTACGCCTAAATCCCCCTTAAAACCCCCTTCGATAAGCTTCAAGAATCCAGTGAAATCCTGCAATCTCATCTTGCCCCTCGTTCTCCACTATATTTACACATTCGGACCAAACACTCGCCTCTCTTTCTCCAGCTGAATTATACAACTTTCTCCCAAAAAATTTCCCAATTTCCGACCGATTTATTCCCAGGAATTTATTATTTTTCCAAAAATCGTGGATGCTCCCCACCCGCGGTATTGTAACCTAAATAAAAAATACTAGGAAGAAGCTAACCCTGCTAAAGGTTGTATAATACAACTTGTATTCCATATATTCCATTGCACAGCATTCTCCGCTGATGTTGTTGATATGAGTAAAATGTGAAAGAAAGTAGGGAAGTGTATAAATCTCTTGGTTGGGAAAGAATTTAATTTAGTGACGAACAAATTGACCCTTGACCTCTCATCCTGGATGGATTTGGACCAAGACGAGACACTTTTCAGAGGAAACAAGCCAACCACAGGTAGATTTTCATTTATTTCCATCTAAAAATGTTACGCAGGTGCAGGAATATCACTATCATTACACGCAGCCGTGGTTTTTCTTTTACACATGTTATTTTATTAAAGAGCGGCAGCCATGCGAAAGAAATATTGATAAATAAATAACAAATTATAACATTATTTGTTGTCGGTTGTTATTAAATTAAGAAAAGTTAGGAAGGTAAATTAGTACAAATTTTATAGTTTTAAAAGTTTTACAGATTTGTAAAGAGAACTTTGAACGGTGGTGGTGATGATGATGATGATGATGATGGAATTTTACAAGAAAAAGATAACGAGAATAAGATGTAATTTTCCTTAAAACTCGACATGACGTTGACTTAACGGCGATTAGATTAGTTTCAAGTCAAATGTCGAGTAAATCAATTTACTGATATTTCATATTTAGGAAATGACAAAAGAAATGTAATGTCTGAAAGAGAAATCGATTCTCAGCCTGAGCGAGATAATGACATGATGGAAAACTTAATGGAGAAAGTCAAACCTAATTTGTCACTCTAAAGTGAAATACGCCGAAAAAAAGAAGACAGAGAAATTACGGGCCGTAATTTGATCGTGATCATGATTTGCACTTTCTCCTTCCATCAAAATCAATATCATTAATCATGGAATAGAAGAATTCCACCCAATCAAATTAAAATTACATTTATTTTTCTGCAAACGAATTACACAAGGGAATACTACAAAATGTGACAAACAAGTAAAACTAATAGTCGCAGAGAATCCATACATAAAACATGAGTTTGGCTTTGTCTTACAAATTCTGAGAAGTGTATCAAATTTCAATCATTTTTTCCCTTGTTGTCGTCGTGTCACTCTGTCGGATCATGATTCGTGGTACAATTCCACATTGCATCACTTACATTATATTACAAAATCGGTTCGACAAGAAGAGAAAGAGTGACATTTTGTTACATTGGTGACTTCAATCTGTATCATTTCATTCAGGAGACGACTTTCTTTCTGATTCCTCTTTCACCCGAATATTTGCACTTTCCAGAATACACCCCTACCCACAATTGTTTCCAGGAGAATGGTATGTGTTGCTGTTACATAATAATAGCGTGTGGAGGGTAGATCTGCGGGGGTCGGGGAAATGAAAATGCCCGGATTCGGGTATCCTTCGGACCCAGGTCGGACTGGGCGGAGAAAGTTCTTCATTATTATTGATTTTATCCATCGAGCTGCTAAGGACGACGGCGTGTAGGCTCCATTTAAAGGGTTCATGCGTCGGGCTAAACTTAAATTTGTTCCTCTTACCATTGTTTGTTTACAACTAACAAAACTTAACTAATATTCGGCAAAATAATACTCGAGAGGTACAAGAAACTAGGGGGAAAGACAGAACTGCCAATTTTTTGGAATTTTTTTACTACACATTTTTTATTACGGAAGGATTTTACCATTTTAAGAAATTATTGTATAAGAAGTAACAGGGTGAAATAAACGAAATCGCTCGGTTATTTTGATTGTGATGTGGTTTGTCATTGTTATACTAATGTAATGATTAGATTGAAATTGACTAGTTTACACTGAGATTTTGATTTAGTCAAGTAAAATATACAATAATGTGATCGTGTAGCAAAAAATAACCAGTATTCAGCAATCAACCGTGAAAATAAGCGAATGCATAAAAAATATTATTCTCACTCAACAGGCAGTCAGAATCAGGTAAAAAAAATATGTAAATTTATATGTAAATGAAAGTGCTTAAATTTAGGTTATAATGCAAGTAGAGGCATTATTGCAAAAAATGAATTGAAATAATTTCAATTAAATCAATAAATCAATAATTATTATTGATTTGATTTAGAATCTGATTAATTCACATTCGATTTTCTTACCACGTTTAAGGCGTTATTTTATTATTAAGAAATAATAAATTATTCTTTGTGACTATTTGCTGTGCCTCCATCAACTCATATTTTGTTTCGCATGCATTTATAAAATCAAATAGTTATATTTGAATACAAGTAGATAAAACCTTATCCCACTATAAAAATCCGGGCATCTAAACCCAGCAGGTGAGTCCGGTTCACAGTCGGGTAGTATGCAGACAATGGTTCCTACTTATTTTTTTTAATGCATCCATGTACATCATCCACAGTATGTAGTTTACATCGTGTTGAGATTTCAAGAGTGGGGCACGTGTGTATCTTTTTATATACACTTTTTAAATCAACATCTGCCACAAGCAGCCTTATTTTTTCCATGCCAAACCAAACCACTAATAAACCAAAGAAAAGACTCGATCCATCCATTCACACATTTATGCCATAGTTTAGACTTCGTAACATAAATAACACCAACCAGCATGTATGTAGCATCCGTCTAAACTACATAACCACATATAAAATACTCTCTCTCCTTCCTTATCTTTTTTAGGAACAGGAGAGTGTGAGGGAATAAGTAAGTAACCAGTTAACCTATAAAACTATGCGTCTAATATTTAAATATGAAGTACGGAGCAGATTGGCCAGAACATGAAGCGCAGTTTCAACTACATATTTCAGCACCGACTTCATCATGATCTACATAATCCGGGTTGATGAATACCCGATTTTCTCTGTAAATATGAAGTTTCATATGCAGCCAAATCATAAAATTTTATTTTTTCTATGCACAACTTTACAAAAATTCGTGGTATTCAACTTTTTTCTTTAAGCACCACCTCCGCCCACGCCGTAATAGCCATAGCTCATACTCGGGGCGTACATTAATGAGATGTCAGAAGAAGAAGAATTATGCTGAGATTTGCTGGGTGATCTCACTTCATAATTTTTGTACAACATGGTGGGAGCATAATTGTTACCATTTGCATCATCAAATCCGAACAGAGATTTTGAATCTTGCCTGTGATTAGGGTGGTGGTGATTACCATATTTGGGAATTTGACCATGTTTAAGTTGAGCGTAGTCGTACAATAACATGTCGGATCGGGGACGATGGTAAAATCTTTGCTGCTCATTTGACGCACGATAGTGCGGATAATCATGTTCAATGTGTTCTCCGTGATTGGAATGCTTTGGTTCTTGATGATGAAGAAGGTTCCGCAATTGTTTAGGAGACAATGGGGTGAGGAGAAAGATTTTGACCTTGGGGTCACTATCGCGGTGACCTGCATCGTGGTCTTGATGATAAGAGTCGTCATCATTATCCGTATCATCATTTTCTTCGTGGTCGTGATGATTTGTGATTGAATTTGATCCGGGATTGCCCACTTCCGGCTTTTTGTTGCTGAATCCTGCAGGTGGTTGTTGTTCATGACAATAATAACCGTAGTAGCAGGGTTCTTCTGGGTAGAGCTGGCGTTGGTCGCGTGCAATATTTGTAGCTGTCACCTGCAGCTTATTCCCATTTCCTGTAATCTGGTTGGCGTAATGAGGAGGAGGAGACGATGATGATTCCCGTTTCGGTGTTAGATTGTAATTCGGGGATTTGGGGTGGTGGTGATAGGAGAGATGGGGGCGTAGGCGTTGCTGGAGTGGCGGCGGTGGTTGGAGAAAGGCAGAAATGAAAGGAACTGCTCGCATGACTTGTCCCCGAGAAAAGAGTAGGGTCGTCTGTAAATATGTAGTTTTAGATTTTAGACACAAATCGAACTTTTTAAGAATTTTTGATGTAAATGTAATACATATGCATTTTGTAGGTGATTTTTAATGGTGTTACACAACTTACCAGCAATAGAATTTGGTACTGCATTTTTAATCTTACAAAAATCCTTCAACTCTTTGTCATTCGACAGACCGTTATCAAATGATAATATTGTAATGTGGAATATCAGTTTCTAATAATGCGTGTTACTCAAAGCCTCGTCGTAATTTCATTTATGCAACACTTTTTCCCGTATAGAAGTACTCTTATTTGCATAAGTAATTCCGTTAATGATGCATTTGAGCATGTGTGAAAATTGCGGTTTTATGCATGTAAGTATAGGGATGTTAACTGACTTTCAGCAAAATGTGAAAAACATATGAAATCTTTTGCATCACTTGACTGACGGCACTTTTGTACTCTTTTTGATACAGATACAAACTTTTGTTGAACTATTGACCGCAACCGACTGATTGGGAAATCTTTGACCGATGGTGACCATGAACGGGGACGACGCGTCGACGGTCGCATTGCTGCCCTCTGTTGCTGCTAATCTTGATGACCATGGTTTGGTACGTAAATTTTTGTTACAGATTACGTAATAAGTATTTTTAGTCATGGATGTAGTCTTGATATTAGTCTTACCATTAGTGTAATTGATATTTTTTAAATTAACAGGATGACGATGACGATGGAATGTCAGGTATTGCATTCATATACATACATACAATTAGAAAAATTCATTGAGTCTTGCTAATTCCGATTTCTTGACTATTTCATAGATGATTCAGAGTCATTTGCCGACTGTCATGACCTTATGTCAGCCACGATGGAAGACGAAGTTACTGCCCAACTTGCTGCTGCAGGTATTTTAATTCGAAACATTATGTATACTTGAAAATTAAACTAAGGTATTGTAATTTATTCATGCATAGGGCCCGTTGGGATGGCGGCTAGTATGGCAATCGCATCAGCAAAAAAACGTAAACGACCTCATCAGTTTGAAACAAACCCCTCAATAAGAAAACGGCAACAGACACGACTACTGAGAAAGTTGCGACAAACTATAGACGAATTCACGATTCGAGTCGGGATGCAAGCCGTAGTGGTACTCAAATTAAATTTAAATTGTATAGTTGTGATGTGATATTTACGTCAATGTCTCATTTTCAAGCTTGTCGCGATCCCAGGCAAACCACAAAACAGCTTTAAATGTTTCGGTGAGCTTATTATTACAATTTTCAATTTAAGTATTAAGAGAACATGACCGAAAATCGTATTTTCTTTCTTAGGTGCCAAACCCTTAGAAGATGTCATAAGAAATTTACGGCCTGTCGTTATGCAAGAATTAGAAGCTTCCCTGGCTCAACATGCGCCTGCCCCTCTTCCAGAAGATCCCTCCCTGCATGAACTGCCCCCATTAGTTATCGACGGGATTCCCACTCCAGTGGAAAAAATGACACAGGTACATTGAAACACTTAACAAATCATTATTTAAAATATGTAATTGTGAATTTGCAATTTATCTTTGTTTTATATATTCTTAAGGCCCAACTCCGAGCATTTATTCCACTGATGCTCAAATACTCAACGGGAAGGGGGAAACCAGGCTGGGGCAAAGAATCGACTAGACCCCCTTGGTGGCCACAAGGTACATAGAAATAACTATTTTTTAAATCGTCATCAAAATATGGGTGCTGATTTTATTTTATTTAACAAGATTTACCCTGGGCAAATGTACGAATGGACGCAAGAACTGAGGACGAAAAACAAAAGGTTTCATGGACGCACGCTTTACGACAAATTGTAATTAATTGCTATAAGGTACGTTTGAAAATTCTTAAAATTCTTGACTTAATAATTTAAGAAAATCGTAATTCACTGATATTTTTCTCTCATTGTCGTAGTATCACGGTCGGGAAGATCTGTTACCCGTGTTTAACGGTGAATCCGACGAGCACGATATAAAACCCCCAATCGTTAAAATCCCAAAGGCAAGCCCCCATATCAATATTTCCACCATGAACAACAATTCCACGACTCAAGTCGTAACCACCACGCAATCTCAAAATCAATCTATTACGCAAACTATTCCGGTAAAAACTGTTCAAAAATCAAATTCTGTTTTTGTAGTTTGGGTTTTGGTTGCAGTTTTTATTTTATTTTTCATTTTATAAATTATGAATTTTTATTTTGATCTCATTTTTGTGCAATTAATGTTATTTAATTTCTATACTAATTAGGTGTGCATAATTAATTTAATCAGGTGCATCAATTCCCCTCCACTGTTTTACAAACGATAAGTAACCCTGACGGAACCGTCTCCATTATCCAAGTCGATCCTTCCAACTCTTATATCCAGTTACCCGATGGAACGCATGCCCAAGTTCAGGGAGTTGCTACCGTAAGTGACATTACTTAATTATCATTAGAAATCATTTAACTAATTGTGTAATTTCGATGTAGTTACAACACTCTGGTGATGGTCAAGGCGGCGACGGAGACAATATGCCCGTAACGCTCGACCTAAACTCAGTCGCACAAGCCGCACTAGCCGGTCAAGAAGGGCAAATAATGCTGACCGGAGAGGACGGACACGTCTACCCGGTAACGGTTTCGGGCATGATTAGCGTCCCTATGCCATCCAACATGTACGTTTCACGAATTTTATTTTTACATGTTTTCGAGATTCACTCACCTTACCTCCGTCACACATTTTATTTCAAGGTATCAAACTGTGGTGGCCAATATTTCCTCAATCCAAGCACAACATGGGTCCGATGGGACGTTACAGGTAACCCATGTCATTCTACAATTTGTGCTTATTTGCTTATTCATTTTTTTTCTTATGTGCATATGTTTTGTTATTTTTTATATTTTATTTCTCACCTTTCTTCTGATGCTACTACTACCTCCTCCACTTCCTCCTCCCCGCAGACAAAATACGTAGTCGAATCTCCAATTAGTGTCCAATCTCCTTTGAGGAAAGGACGACTCATTCCAGTTAATAGTGCAATTAATGTGAGTATTATTATATATGTAGATTTTTAATTACGTAATATACTTTCTTTTTCGCTTTAGCCCATGTTGCCTTAATTGTGATCCTATTTAGCTCTGATTCTAAAATCATGTAATAACTGAACTGATATAGGTCGTGTCACCTATGGTACTGCCCAAAATTGAACCCGGTACTGAAGGCGAGACGACGGCTATACCTGTCAGCGCGGTAAGTTAACCGCATAATTTTAGTGAGTAGCAAAATTAATAGTATGGAAACATACTTTTCTATTAAAATTGTTTAGTTAACTGGGGATCCAACTCAAACGCAAGTCGTCCACGTGAACGCTAATGGACAGGTGTGCTTTGTAAGAAATATTATTTAACACTCTTTTTTGAATTTCCAAAACTATGAAAAATTGTACCAAAAATAATTTTGCCAATTCATAATGTGGTCCACGTAAGATAGCTTTCACTCTCCAGCTTTCTTATGTTTGGGGTTAGTTAGGACTTGCACTTTGAGGGAAAGTTTTGAACTGCTGTTTTTTCTCTTGCACCTTCTCCTCTCCCGGAAAATTCACAATTTTCTCGGCTAAGTAATAATAATTTAGATAACAGTGAAAGAAATACACGAAATACAGAAATTCAAATTAAGTTGTAATTTCGATAAGATAAGGTAAGTATGAGGTGGAAGAGTTTAACCATAATTTGAGTACAATTAATTAACCTTGATTTCTACCACTTTTAGATTTTTCAATGGAGATTCCACCTCCTCATAGACAGAACATTCAGGTTCGAGGTCAAGCACCAGAATTTTGCAAATTAAAAATGAAAAGTATAGGAAGTTTCGCCGGAGGGGGTGGGTCAATTGATCAAATTAAGGCTGCTTTTTATCAATTAGCCAGACCAGTCGAAGTGGAAGTGAATTCGGAGGATCTTATTTATAGTCAACCCGATGTCCTCTCCCAATCCACCCCACCGGTTGCTACTCCCCCAGAACTTATCCCCCTGTCATCGGAGGAGAAAGCATCCGCCATTGCCAAAATCAAAGCAGCAGGAGAAGTTGGATTAACTATTGGAAATACTGGAATGCATTTTGTATGGAAAGAGAAGTGTGGAGTCGGATTTGGACAAAAAAGGCCAAGAATTTCCGATCAATTATGCGTGAAACGGGTAGGTACAAATCAAACGTACTATGAGCCTCTCTGTACTTTTGAAGGTAAATCTCACTAATAAGAACAATAACATAATATATTATCTGGTTATATAACTATTTTGTTTTATTCCTCAGATTGTTTCTCTCATACTAACGCAAGGGCGAATGAAGAGATGCCAAAATGTCTCACACATAAGGGTCCCATTGAAGGATTCGCAGTCTACGAGTTCATACATAAGAAAGCTGGAGTTTCAGAGCTGGGTCACATGATAATGAAATTCAACTATGCTCAAGATAAGAAAAAAGATCATGCGACTCAAGCGCTTTCTCAACGACAAAAACCAAAAGGGATTGTTACACGATCCGAGTTTTTCAACACTTGTGGTGATGCTGAAAAGAAATTGGCGGTCTGGCAGACGGTGGCTCTGTTGAAATCCTTATTTAATCCATCCGAATATAAGTACACAACTCCATCAGTGTCATTGGCAAATGGACTGGAGGCGGAATTAATAGAAGAGATGGAAAAACAAGGATTCAAACTTCACTTAACTGGATTAAGTAATTCAAAAGTGGAAAATAACAAAATAACATTCCCATTCGGCAGAAGAGCAAGGACGGATGAAAAACTTGTTGATTTGTTGGACGACAACCACGGTGCTCTTTACATAGTGTGTGATGATAAAATTTTTTACGGTGGTCAGACAATTTCCAGAGGCGATACTCATCCTATAGGTAACATCCGAGACACCGTCGTCGCTTACGAGAAGGAATACGGGACTGGGAAACTAATGAAGGTCCCTCTGTGTGCTGTTAAAATTTCAAAGAAACGAAAGAGAAAAACTGATGAGACAACAGAAGAAATTGGTCTGGAGAAAGATGCCTTGAAGAAGATGGAAGCTCATCTTCATGTTGGTCTATTCATCGCTTATCTTTTCCGTCTGAGAAACCCTTTCCATTCTATTTTTGCTTACACTCATCCTTATTGTCTCAACAAAGAAGTTATTTCTTCATATTTGGATGAGCATTCTTGGGAGAAAGTTGATTTATTTTTAAAGAGAGAATTTGGTTGTCAAATTGAATTTATGAATTTGTAAGGAAGTTTGCCACCACACCGTCTGTCAAAGTTTGTTATATTCATTTGTTTTATATATTTTATATATGAATATACGTATATATTCAATGTAGACCTTTCATTATATGTTAATTTATGGGACAGAAATTAGTAATAAACTTTTATCTGTAAACAAGAAAAGTGCACGACAGCTCATTAATGGTCCACGTAAGTTATGTTAGTAAACACTTCGAGTAAAGGTATTGCCCCGACTAGAAACTTGGACGCGTTCTAATATTTGCATATCTTTTAGGGTGACAAAATCTACCAAATATGTGAATTTCTCAAACCGGAAAACCACGAAAAGGTTATCATGGTATGTAGACTAAAACAGCAAAATGAACTTTCTTCATCTTGCTTGGTCACAATTTCATCTTATTTGCAGATGGCCGAAGTGACAAATCATCAGCAAATCCAACAATCTCACCACCACCAGCTCCAACAACACGTCCATCACGAGATGCAAGGGGAAGAATCTCAACAAGACCAAGAGGAGGAGCAGGACGACGATAACAATAGCAAAGTGATACAAGACGACGGGGGACAAGGGGATGACCAGCAGCAGCAGCAGGACGTGGAAATGGAAAATGGTGAAAGTTAGTCATTGTTCGTTCCATTGCCAATCCCAAGAATTTAATCAATATTAAGTACTACCAAGTACCAACTACTATTACTACTACCACTGCGAGTGAGCATGCAACAATAGTCATTTTCATACGTCGTCGTCTCTCAGAATGTGCTTACAAATACAATACAGTAAAAATTACCGATCTTAAGTGAGAAGCGAAAAATATTTTTTTGAAATGCAATATTTTATATTTCTAGTTTTATTACGACTCTGACAATTAATTATTTCGGTTTGTGCGTTTAGATTTATACGAATTGTAATTACCCGTTCGTTATATTACTTATATTCGCCCTTTCATCTCGTGTGTACATTACTCGTGTATAAAAACATAATATGTATTAAACATTAGTCCAGTATTTTACGCCTGATTATTTATCCACCTAGTTTATTCTCGTCTCGTAATTTTACCATCATATAATTGCTGATTTTCTTGTTGCTATTTACCATATACTGTTATATATTTATAAGAACAAAGTAAAAACTTGTCGAAAAACACCGACCTACCAAACCATAACCTTATTGTTATTACTATACCTTATCTCATCTTTTTTTATCTCGGTCATATGAGAATAGTCATTTACACATAGAGACTGTCTAATAAATAACTGTGTAGCCGTATTTAATAATAAGATGCGTGCGTGGACAAGTACAATTACATTTGTTCGTATAATAATAAGTTATAGGTTAACTTACTAGTATTACCAATACCATTCTATTTCTATCGTGAGACGATCTCAACAACCTTTTTCATCAATAATATGTAGGAAAAGGAAAAGTAAAAACAAAACAAAAATACAAGTTAAGTCCGAGATTTGTTTATTATACATAAGTCATAATAAATAATTAAATGGACCGTATTTGAAAAATCAATAAAGTAAAATGTACGAAAACGCGTTACGTAATTATCTCTTGAATTAAAAAAATTATTTTATTTTTACCATCTTTTACAGGGTCTCCAAAAATTTGATAATATTAATAATAAAATACTTAAAAGTTAACTACTACGCCAAAATTTGCACTCTTCTTTCTCATCCTTGCATTTACTGAAAAAGAGCAAACAACAACCTTGCAGTCCAAATAAATAAATTGTGAAGATCATGATGATATGATGACACCATGAAATGATATCATCATTAATTCGGGAATGATGAGGCAAGTTGAGACGAGATGCAGTTTTTACAGTATTTATACCACAGACTTGGATTTATACTGAATCACATTGATGATGCGTCCATCCGTCCATCCGGCTCCATAATTTTCCATGAGTTTTACACGTCGTATCATTTTGGTTTTACATGATGCAAAATAATATCGCAATTTTCAGCATTTCTCAACATTTGTCATAACTCATTCCTATACCTTTTCTGTTATATTAGAACTGTTGTTGTAGGCAAACAAGTTCTCATTCTGCATTGTGCTACCAATTGTTAAAATTTATGAAGCCAACGTACCCGCACAACAATGGACGGACACTTATTATTATTATGCCTGGATGGATATCTCGCAAACCGACTATATTTTGTGTGCATGCATATAAATGCAAATCGACTTTTAGCCTAAACCAGACGGTGTGTGGAATAGGAGCGGCACTTCTTTTTTCGTAGCCCAGAGCTAAATTCCACCACCACCACTACTCCAGCTTTCAGTTGGCATTTTGGCAGTCGGGGAGAAGCAGCAAGTTTTTAACCACCAACAAAAACCACCACCGACCGACCGAAATCAAACAGGGTGACACATCTTTTTTCGACTTGTGGGTGTGTCAACGTACGTCAAGGAACAATTAACAATCGGACATTTATTATAATTCCAACAGGGCTGATTAATTAATTAATCAGTTAACTGGAAGAGTGGTAGTAACAATTTTAAGTTGATGAAGTTAGTAAACAACCAAATTTTTAATTAGTGAGTTGTAACAAAACAACAACTTGTAGGCAGGATAGAATTAATTTTGAGTTGAAATTATGCGATAAAACCCAAATTTCTAGTTATTCATACCAGGTTGTGAGGAGGAAATCTTAAAATTGACAGGGATTTGTTTATTTTGGTTAGTTTTCAATTTTTTGGAGTGACAAACTAAAAATTCCGAGAGTTCTGCCTGGACCGGATTGAGGTTGTGGTTATCTAAAGGTAAGAACTAATATATGTATATTGTTGTTAATTTTATTAGTTAGTTAACTAGCTTGTAACTTTCACAATTAGGCATTTAAGGATTAATGTTCATTTGTTTACAAACATTGTTGGGGCATTTGGTTTGCTGATAAGACTATTTGTATGTAATACATGTTGCGGTACGCGATGATGTAAAGTTATCAGGATTGTTTGGTTATGATAAGCCGGTTGTCCTTTTGTAGTGGGATTAAAGTATATAATGCATTGGATTATTTATATGTTAGCGGATTAGCATTATTTTTAGTCTGTCCATCTACTTATGTATACATAGAATGTTACTGGATGACGGTATTACCAAATTGATGGTTGATTAGTTGAGATTTTTTAACTATAACTGACATTCTTTTTGCCTTTACTAATTGAGTGATGTGACCTAAAACTTGGTGACCTTTGTTGACATGGGTTGATGCATTATGGTGATCAGGACCCAATTATTTAAGTGTTTCTACTAATTTAATTACAAGAATGACGTGCCATGTTCCAGGCAGGGTTAGATGATGATCACAAAAATGCCCAACTATTTATATGCAGATTATTATCAACGTTTCGATTAAGGGCTGGACGACGCCCTACGACTGACACTTTGTGACCCAGCCCAATGCCCTAAATGCCTGGTTTAGTTTAATTTAATTACCGAAATTGTCGGATGAGCTGGCACTGCACTTTGGCCATTTCCTCCTCTGGAAAACGGTGGAAGTGATCATTTCATGGGATGTTAAAAACAGAATCGATCGTGACATGCATGCATGTGTGTGGTCATCATCATTTTGAGAAGATATGTACATACATAAATGGTGGACAAACCAATTAGTGTAATTGACTCAGCTAATAATACATGCACATTATTTAATAGTAGTGCTGGAAAAATTGGCATGCATTTTGAATGTTTACCGGTTTACCCTTCCTCCCAGCATAATTTAAATTATTTAGCCAGGTGTGCATTTGAGTTAATTCTCTTCATTAAGTCCATTTATACATGTTTAGGATTACCATATTTACCGTTTGGTATTTGCTTTCTATTACATCATTTATTTCGTATAGGATTGCATTATAATGATTACCACTGGTATCGTGGCTGCAATTTTCTCTTCCTGCATTTAATTAATGCAGATAAAATCACATCACAGCACGCTAATTAATGCTGCTATTTGCCCCCGCACTTATTTTTGTTGTCGTTTCTCGTTAGTAATGTCCTTAACATAAGATGGAAATAAGTATTTCATAGACTACTATACATCATCATGGATGATGTATGTATTTAGTGACTCAGTTTTGTGGATGGATTCGATCATTATTTTGGACCTTGGAATTTTTGAGTGGATCAGGAATCGTCGATGATGTACATGGACTGATCTTAAGTCCATGTACAGTTGTCAGTTGTTTGTCGTCCTCATGTTATCATCTCGTTTGATGTGGTTTTAATTTGAACTTTTACTCTCTGTTTTAAACATTGATCGGCTTATCGTGTTTTTTTGTCATTTTTATTTCTCATGGTGAGTCAAAGGGCATTTCATTCTTCATGGTCGAATTTGTATGTATATTATTTACGGTATAAAATTGCGCTCTTCTTTTGCTGACTGACTGACTTTGTGAGTGACATCATTTCTTATCAAGAATGTGACATCTGAGTTTAATTTTCCACATCTTAATCTTAATGGTGTGTTGTTAATTATTAAAATGTAATCATCGCAGTTGTTTTATTGCAATTTTATGGTACCAAAGGCACCATTTATTTACAGATGTGTACGCCAATCTGTGTGATAGGTCCTATTTGCTATATAATTCTGCTTCTGGAGATAACTGACAGGATTTTTTTATAAACGTGTTGTGGTGATCTTAAAGAAAAATAAGGATGGAAAAACTATGTACGTAGATATGAAATTAATCTAATGAAAAAGTCAGATGGGTTTATGTTTCATGCCGTAAAATGAAGAATGTTTACTGCACAACAATATTGACGACCTAACAGTCATTTACCGTTTGTGCATTAATTATCTATTCCAGAATTTCAAACGACAGACAAATCGGTCAAAGGCATCGCCACGAATAGGGTTGTTGCTACTAAAGGGTTTATTACCTTACCTCAGGCGACAGTTAACTTTTATAGATTTCGCGTTTATATTTCGTGTGGTCGTATATTCCATTATATATTTTGTTGACATTATGCCCACTGTTATTGGCCACATAATATGGTCCGGTTTTTGCCTTATTAATCCACCAAAGGTCGGGTCAGTTTCACTTTCATTTCTATACTTTGCGACATATGGTTAATGTTCTTCTCAAAATGAAAAGTTGATCCACTGACCGAAAGCCAACCACAAGCAATCCATGCTCCAAGTGTGTGTGAATGAGAATGAAACAGAGATCCACAGAGATAGATACATGTATAAATTACTTTGCGTACTGACAAAAGCCGCAGAAATAAAGGGTGACGGAATAGTCTTTATTACAGTAAAAGTCAGTCTCATATGGTCATTTTCATACTTCATTCGACCACCACTGTGAACAATTTGGGTCGAAGTAAATTGTAACTTGTAAATGTAAACAATATTGTTCCGTCCGTTCCCATTACAGAGTTGGATAGAGAGGGGCAGATGTTAATGAGTTAAATGAAATATGACAGAGCAGTATGTACGGAAAAGAGGATTTATAATAACGGAGAGTAATCAGCCATAGCAGAGATCCAGTAGAAAATAAAGTAAACCATCTGATTCCGATTCCCACAAAGAGGAAGGAACCATTTCCCATCCGACCACAAGGCGGATTCAGGCGGATATGAAGGGTTTATTCAGATGGTTTCGGTTTACTACGTATGTGGGGGTGGAAATATATGTTTCCTTTCATTTGTGTGTTACGTGGGTTGAAAAGATCTTTGTATTTAAGAAGGAACTTTGTACTTATTTGTTTTCATAAAAGTTGAGCAGTGATGATTATCTGAGTACAAATGTCATTTAAAAGAGATACAAGGAAAGATATGGTATATGTAGTTTTGATACATTTATTATGTAAGCCAGGCAGAGGATGTGTCTGCTTTTCAGTCATGTCATGTGTATTCTCATTTAAAGTGCATATTAATTTGTACTACATTGCAGCTTCATGAAATATAAAAATGAATATAAATTCGTAGATTGGATACTAATGCGATTTGAATGGAATGAAATAAAGTGATTTATGAGAACTTGAGTAATAAGTCGGTTAGTCATGCATCATCGTTTTCTCTTCTGCATATAAAGAGAAGACATTATTGGTTTCTCTCAATAAATTCTAGTTCACTTGATTTGATCTTCTTGCTCACTTGAAAATTCGTCGACTTATTGCAAAATCCATGGCTTGAAAATGGCACATACGGACCTCTAAAGAATATTGTGTGAGGCTATAGGTTGGCAGAATAAAGAGATTTTTCAATTGAACGCAGACTTTGTTAGCATTCTGGAGATTTTCCTTCTTTCCAGGAACATGGATTAAAATCAGGGGACAGTATTAATAAAATATTCTATGGAACAGGTTACCAACTATTTACCAGACCAGAGATTTATGTATTTCCTCGTAGATACTCATGGATACATCCATACGTATCCCATCTTCCTCGAACTAACTATTAGAGTAAATTTGTATAAGGAGGAGAGATTGAAGAAAAGAAATCTGAATTCGTAGGAAATGGAAAGATTGTCCCATCCGATATCCGACAAGATGAATGGCAGTCTAGAGGAGAGATCTGTTTGTTGTTGAAATTCATTTATCATGTCGAACGCCAATCTTCCTCATCTTTCTCCTCCTCAACCATCCTTCAAATTAGCTTTGAGAAGAGGAAATGAGATGAGTTTTCTGAATCTGTGACTGAAATCTGCTTAGCTGTAACATCGCAATGGTACTTTACGTTACGTCACTTCACGTCGTATGCCTCATGAATATCTACAGTGTTTCCATTTATTTAGTCGTGTTTACTCTGCACTTAGAGCCCATCTCTGCTCGCATTTGTCACATGATTTAAAACCATTTATGAAATTATCACTCACTTTCGATTAACGTGAAATGAAAGGAAATCCTTTAAATCCTTCTTCTCTAAAAAATATTCTGAAATTTTGGACTTTTGCGATGAACCGGAATGATTGAAGGGTTTTGAATCTTTGATGCCTGACACGACAATGCTTTTCCTTTCCTCCCCGATATAAGATAAATACTTTCACGTGCCTCGTTCACACGAGTATGATGACAACTCGTTTGGTTGGACGTAAGGGTTGCTGCGATTTTGCACTATCAAAACGTTGTGGGAGGCTGAGAGTGTAAACTAAACTCCGGCTGGGTGGGGAGAAAGAGTGAAAGGTGTGGGTATAAGAAGTAAATTCATAGTACGGATAGCATTGATTAAGGATACAGGATCTATATGGTTTCATTTTATCGTATAACTTATCCAGTATTATTTCTAGTGCAACTTGAATAAAATCGTGATGGTAGCGTAGTAGTACGACAAAGTGCGTCAATAATTGCACATGGGGGAGGATTAGAGAGAAAACGTATATTATCCAATCAGTCGTGCCTCGCATCCTGGTCGACCTAAGTTAATCTTTCGCCACACCAAACAAGACATGTACACAGTACTCCGTGTAGAATGGAAAATTATTTTGACGTGGCATATTGCAATCACGAATTTCGACAGAAAATCAAATGAGAAAGGTTCTTTTAATTTACCGGAAAAATAATCCCGTGTGTAATTTTGTACAATCAGCGATGCAACGAACCATGTAGATACATACATTTGTACATATGCAGCCGTAGACTTTTCATGGATTCCATGTCGTGATATTGATTAATCCCGACCAGCAGGAGAATCTCTCCATCGTACATATAACATGTATTTTTGTTTGTATACCTGTGTTAGTACACACGCATGTTATTTTATTATTGCCTATCTGGTTTTACTAAATACAAGCTGCTCCTGTTGCAGTATTGATTCGATA